CCATATCCCACCCTTCAAACCGAAACACAGCCATGCAAACACAACTGCTTCACGGTTGAAACACGAATGGGACAAAGGTACCCAAGCAATCGACTTTTGTACAAAGTCTCCCTCTAGTAAAGATAAAAATGAAAGCAGGTCAGTTAGCCCATCTTCACAAATCCACAAGAATTAACCACGATGGTTTCCAGGGGGAACTGCGTGGAGGTCGACCTGATACACCTTGTATTGCTAGCAAGGGGGTTGTTAGACCCCCAATACTAATAATTCCTTCTCCTCTTGCTAGACGTTCTAGAACCTTCCATATTAGCCATCAATCTGTGACTGCCATTTGAAATGGCTGCTGGGGTACCAGTGAATGAAGATGAAGTCAGGTCAGTTGTTCCGTCGTAACCAATTCACCAGGAATTAACCACGATGGTCTCCAACGGTGTCTCACTCTCAGAAAAGTCGTAGGCTTGATTCTATGCACAATACATTTGTATTCTTGTGTAAATCTGTTTGTATTGACCTTTTTTATACGAGTATGTATATATATATATTTTTTATACAACTTAGAATGGCAAACAAGCTGACGGCCCACCTGATGGAAAGTGGTAACCGTCGCCTATAGACATGAGCAGTACCATGCACATAACAGAGTATACTGTTTCGCCCATGATACCCCCCATGCGTTGTCATTGCTGAGGACTCAGGTGTTATTCCTCTGTACCCTGTAAATTCACTGCCCTTCAAACCGAAACACAGCCATGCACACACAGCTGCTTCACAGCTGAAACACGAATGGGACAGAGGTACCCAAGCAATCGACTTTTGTACAAAGTCTCCCTCTGGTAACATAACAAAATTTTAGTATAAAAACATACTTAATTATTATTTCTGTTATCTAGTACCAACTCATTATATTGATTTTTAATCGACTTCAAAAAAATGGAGAACATAATTCCGTTTTTTTTTTTATATTTGTTACCTCATAACTCCGTCAGTTCTGAACCAATTTGAAAAATTCTTTTTTTATCTACAAGGATATACATACAGATTAGTTCCATAGAAATTTTATCAAAATCGGTTCAGTTGTTTACTTTTTAAATTAAAATAACTGGTTTTGTTGTAATTGAAGTAGTTTTTTTTTGTGGTACATAATTTAATTATGAATTTATGTCACATCATATTGTTGACCCTTATTGCATCGGATATTTTATTTGCTATCAGTCTAGGATAACCTCAAGTTGAATCCAGTCAAAACTGGTTCAAAGCGGATAGTACTTACGAGAGTTATTCGTGTTTTAAGGACAACTGATTAATTAGGAAACCGAATTCAGAACTTAAATATTTTTGAAGCCGTTTGAGAAGACAGAGCAGTTTGTTTTTGTTCTTCATGTAGTCCATGAACGACTTTTATAACCGATACAAAAATGTTACTTCTCAGCAAATTTATTAAAACGACCGAATGACCTCCCCGAGATACATTTGCAATCAGTTGTAAGGCATTTATCAGTAATAGAATGACCGAACTAGTTCATACCGGTTTGACTGTCAACTGTGTGCGCAACGGAACGTGTCTCCGTGTCATTACGCCGTGATGATTCGATGATGTTCAATTGATTATAATGATCGTCACGTAAATGATAATATAAAACGTAGTGGTTAGAGAAGGCCATCACAGGCATAAGAATCTATGTCCAGTGGTCACAATTTAGTGAAATGGTAACCCCGCCTGTGTTATCGGTATACACTGGCCTGCCTTTAAATTCTCACCTGTTATCCCTCACCGGTGCCCCGCCAGCGTATACCGTTAGCGCAGGCGGGGTTGCCATTCCATTATCACCCATTAAAAAAAACTTAGAAATCCTGGTCAATATAGGACGCTGGCCTTAAAAATAATGGCATTTGGCAAAATGATGTAATTACGCAACCTTGACTCTTAGCTAATGAAATTGGCGGTTTATGGGTAACTGAATCAGTTTTGGCAACGAGCCCGAGCAAAAGTTGGATTTCCTCTTGGATCCGGACCAAATGTCGCAGGTCTGCATATTTTCTGCAAGATGCCATAATTAAGGTATTTTTAATGGATGAAAGTGGAATGGTAACACTGCTTATAGTGTCGGTTTTTTTTAATAATCGATAATGAAATGGTAATTCCGCCTGCACTGTTATATGGTATTTGCTGGAGAAGCACCAGTGAGTGATGATAGGTGATAATGAAAGCAGGTTAGTTAGCCTATCGTGATAATTTCCATAAGAATTAACCAAGATAGTTTTTAAAGGAAACACGTGGAGTTCGATTATTCCCTTACACAGATGGACTTTGGCCTAGGATTTACAGTTATACTTTTTATCACATAATTTCTATTATTAAAATCTTTTTTTTTAATGGGTGATAATGAAATGGTAATCTCACCTGCGCCAACGGTATACGCTGGCGGGGCACTATTGACCGATAATAGGTGACGATAAAAGCAGGTCAGTTAGCCCATCGTAACGAATTCCACTAGAATTAACCACGATGGTTTCCAGGGGGAACACGTGGAGGTCGACCTGATAGGGTGTATTGCTGGCAATGGGTCAGTTAGACCCATTACTAACAATCCCTTTCTCCCAAGTCGCTACCTACTGTAATAATACAGATATATGGGGGGAAAACCCGGACTCCCTTTTCGTAGGTAGTCATTCAGTCGCCATTATCGCTCAGCTGTCGTTTGTTATCAATATAATGTTTCATAGTCTCACTTCATTAATTTATGTCACTCTTTGACTTCTATTTCCGCTATAAGGCATTGTTTTGTAAACTTATAAGACACTGGGTTATCTCGTAAAATTGCTCGCGTTTATTAGAATTCTATGTTTAAACATAGAATCATATACTAAATTTTATTCAATCCCACCGAACAGATACATAAATAAATATATAAATATTTTTACAAACTTTTATATTTACAATATTAGTAGGACAGTTTTATTTTTTATTACAAAGTCGGCTATCAAGAGCTCATCAGCATGGAGTGGTAATGAAAAGAGAAAGGAAAGACGAGGAAACGTAATTTTACCTTGGATCCTTCATGGAATAAATCAGCAAAATATCCTAAACTATACGATTGTGATATTGGGGATTAGCAGTCCAATTGTTATCAATTGGCAGCATGAACTCCACATAGTCTTCCCTGAAAATCGTCGTGCATATCTGGTGAATTCGCCTTACTGGTATGTTGCTGCAAACGGGGTTAATGTCATTCTATTGTTGTCTTTTTAAAAACACTTCGAGTTTTGTTATATGGAACGGTGGAAGCTCAGTCGGATGAGGTTTGATTGTGATCCAGAATCCTAAGCTTAAATCCAGTTTCTGAATTTTTAAAATTTATGTGTGGCTTGGATCGTATCAAAATGATTGTCACTTACTTTGTAATTTGTCGTCCTGTAAATTACGTCTGAGTCTTTCGTGTATAAAAACGACAACCCCCGAGAAGGGTGCAGGCTCCAGGGTCTCGGAGGAATCATTTTGCCCTGGCTTTATCTCCGGGGGCAACTCTCAGGTCTTGGCATATTGTGCCTCTTCTTTGCTAGTTTCTGTCATCTTCAGTGGTAGTTGGCAACTTTTCTCCTCATGTTTTTTTTATCCTGTATAAAAAAAGCGGGTTAGGAATCCTTAACACCAGAGAACGTCACTTTCATACGAGTAGTGGTAGTATATTTAAATCGGTCGTTTTTGTTCAAGTTTTTGTTTAGAAAATTCCAGTAAAGCGTCGACACAATGTCGTCGTATAGTGAATTATTTGGCATTGTGCCTATCACAGATATACCTAAGCTTTATATAGATCGCCCAAGTATATACTTTTCGTTCCAATTTCTTGACCTAAGTAAGTGAAAGTTATTGCTTAACTTCTGCTAAATTTCAAATTGGATTTTCTAGAGTAGAAATATGCCATTAGTGTCATATTTATATATGTCACTAATGGCATATTATATTATATTACATACATATACATTATATACTATAGCCCCATTGCTAGTAATGTACCCTATTAGGTTGATCTCCATGCAAGGCCCCCTGAAAACCGTCGTGGTTAATTCTAGTCGAATTCATCACGGTGAGCAAACTGACCTGCTTCATCCTTACCTATCTTTCACTGGTGACCTACCAGCGTATACCGATACCGAAAACAGGGTTACTATCTCATTTACACTTTAAAAAAAATGAAATTAGTAGTAAAAATTAAGTTCAAAACTTAAAGTACTATACAATCACGTCCTAAAAAGAACGTATCTAGAAAATATTTTCATGTGAAATTGTTACATAAAGACTATTTAATATATATTGTGTAATTGAATATACAATTGTGGGCAATTTGTGGCCAATCTGGCTGCAAAGCGTGGCGACTACTAGTAGAACCCTTCCTATGTGGGGAAGCCCATGTTCAACAGTGGACAGTTAACGACTGATCTTCTTTTCATTTAAGAGTTTCCTCTTGTCGGTGCAACTAATTCATGCATCTTCCTCCAGCCAGCTCTATCCCAGGCCATATCCTTTATCTCCCTATACGACATGACGCCTAGTGTTTCCTTTATCTGTCCCATGTAGTTAATCCTCGGCCTTCCTTTTCCTCTTCCTCCTAACGACTGATATACTAATAAAAATGAAAAGGTTTTATTGACACTATTTATTTATTTATTAAAATTTTAATGCACAGTAAAATTCTATGTACATTTGGCGGACGGTGTTCTCTACCAGTCAACCATTGGGCAAACCGAGAAATACGTAGGCGGTACATTTTTGAATAGAGGAAAAATAAAGCAATTATCATTGTGTAAACTTTTCTGATTTCTACTACTATTGATCATCAGCCGAAGCAGATCAACAGCAGACTGTTACATTGTCGCGTTATTTATTCGTTTGTTATTATATTTACATTAAGTTGCATTGAAACAGATTATTAATAAGATCCAGCTGTTTGAAGATATTGAAACCTATTTCTTTAATCTTTATTACGACTGTTTGCTTCTAGGTGGACCTTTATCGAGAGATCACGTTCCGCAACTCTGGGCAGACGTACCGCGGCGTTCCGGTCATGGCAAGCAACATGGACACAGTCGGCACATTCGAGATGGCACAAGAACTCTCCAAGGTGATTTCAATTTGTTTTATCTAGATTTTGCGTTTAGTCGTGATATTGGTTTTGGAACCTGGAAACAAAAGAACTCTGGAGTAAAAAACAACCCAAAACAAAATAAATATCAAATGCACAGCAATATAATACAAATGTTGTTTTGAGAAGTTTGAATCGAACATTTCTCTTCCGTCAATAATGATAGACAAAATGATTTTGCATTTAATTCTTAATCTAATGAGATATCTACATAATAGAACAGACGTGGTGTCTTTGTCAGCAGTGAGACTAGTAAATATAAAAAAAAATGAATTCTTGCAATTCTCTCTATGGGAAACAATGTTTTTTAAAGCATCAATGTTTTTAATATAGTTCACAAGATTGATCTTGCCATTGTGATCGATTTAATTAAAGTTTGTACTCATTGGCATTTGTCTCAATGTTGATCGTAGCGGCTGAAGGTCATCATCACAAGACCTAGGTTATTTGATTTTCTAAACCGAATCGATAAGTTCAAGCGTCAAACTACTAAATATTACTATTATATGGTAAATGTGACACTTTGTAATGCTGTAAGCAAGAGTTAATTTTGTGATCTTCAAACGAGATTATAAAATTCTGCACTATTTTTTTTTATTTAGGAGCAGTTATTGTTATCAGAGGTTCCATTGTTCTCATTGCAAAAATATTTATTTTTATATCAGGCTACTGTGGAAGTTGTTCTGAATTCTAGGTACTAAGAACAAAGGGTTAGTTGTATTATAACTTAGAAAGTATTTTTTTATTTGATACAATGTCTATACAATGTTTTATTTGTATGTGACTGAATCTATTACGTACGATTTCGCAGAAAGATTATATTTTTATTTAAATTAATACTAAAGCACATTCTATTCCTGTAAAGAGACTTTTGCTCTCTCTGGCCTTTTTGCCCATTTTGCTTGACCGATGTTGCTATAGAGAACGTTTTTGATTTATATTGTAGACATTTATTGCTACATTTAATTCATTACCATCTTATGAAATTATTATTTTTGTTTGATGTAATATCACTAGTAACAAATCACAGAAGTGACTTTACTGTTACTATACAAATTGGAATTTGATTGATGAATTGAATATGAAAATGAATTTTTATGAGTCTTCTATGTTTGGATTGCTATTGTTTTATTGTATAATCATATAGCGTTAGCATTCCGTCCCAGCTTCCGTCGCACGTGAAAATTTTTTTGTTATCCACTGAGCTAGCAAACTTGATGGTAAGCGATTACCGTAGTCTATGAACGCCTGCAATACCAGAGGTATTACGCGCGTGTTGCCGACTCTGAAGAAACCTCTTTACCCCCTTTTGATAGAAGATTTGAGATAGATTGCTATTTTGTGTTAGCTGTAATAAAAAAATTTTTGATATCTTGGGTTCTATTATTGTAATTTTCGTAGAGATCTAAAACTTATTTGAAAACTTTGTAATTTTATATCAGAATTTAACACCAGATTTTTAAGTTCATACAACTGAGAAAACAGCAACCAAATTGTTGCAGTAGTTTTTATAAGATTCCGAAACAAACATACAAATAAACTGACAAAATTGCAAAAAAAAATTTTTTTTTTACTTCTATTGCTCTACCTCAGATATAAATTTTTCTAAAATATCTCCCAAGAATAGACATCGCCTAGTGTATCAGTAATATTGGTAAATATTGTTGCAGCATGGGCTATTCACATGTATCCACAAATACTACACGATAGAAGAATGGAAGAAATTCGCTGAAAACCATCCAGAATGTTTGGAGCAAATGGGTTAGTAAAAGATTTTTTTATGCAATATAAGTGGCAATTAAACATACCGTCTATCTGATGGTAACTGATCGTAGCAGATCAGAAACGCTTGCTGTAAATACCTGAGACATCATATATAGTCCTAGCGAGGACGCTCAGGTTGTAAAAAGGGTTTTCTAATGATGGTTTCCCTAAGAGATACAGTATGGAGATAGAGATCGTCAATTACCTTCTAGAAAATTAGAAACTTGCATGGCTATGTTTCGGTTTGAAGAGTGGGATATGCCAGTGAAATTACAGGGTACGGAGGTATAAGATCATCATTCTCAGACAGGCAACCCCTTAGGAGTATCATAGGCATCACAGTATGTTCTGTGATCTCCATGGTACAGTTCAAGTCTATAGGTCTAACTGGTGAAAGTAGACAGCTGTCATCTAAAGACATTAAATAAATAATCGTTATTATTTTTTATTATTCCAGCTGCAAGTTCAGGAACAGCGGACGCTGACTTCGAACGGCTCTCCGATATTCTGAATAATGTGAAAGACTTGAAGTTCGTGTGTCTGGACGTCGCTAACGGGTACTCGCAGCATTTCGTGGAGTACGTGAGAAGAGTTCGCGCTGCTTTCCCTACTCACACCATCATTGTTAGTATCATCGTCAGTTGATTATTTGCTGATTTTTGTGGTGTAAGTGTAGTGGTGAGCATGTTGCTTTGACTTAATGAGGTCTGAGCCAATTCAGAAAAGTTAATTTCCAAATTTAGGAAATTGGCTTGCGTTTGGATGTTTTGAGTTATGTCCCTGAATTTCGTTGCTTGTTCTTTACAGTATAGAGTATTCTAATTTGAAGATCAGGCGATTGGTGGTAGTATGTGTCAATAATTTAAGAAATTAAAATGGTACTGCTGATGACGGTTACCGTTTTGCATCAGATGAGCTGTCAGCTTGTTTGCCATTCTAAATTGCAGAAAAAAAATTTACGTGTCTGGGAAAAAAACATGCGTCTTTCCCTTTAACTCTTTAAGCTTAGGCTTATCGCAAGATTCAATCCCAGTTTAAAACTCCGAATTTTCAAATTTATATTTAAATTAATAAAGATGATTGTTACTTGCCATGTGCTTTACTTGTACATGTAAAGCTGTCTCTGATAAGCCACGCCAGAGGATATATGAAAAATAAAGACCTTTATTGAAGCATGAATCGTTTCTCCATCTCTCTCCATTTATTTATTTATTTAATTAGCCTTCCTTAGTGTCTTCTACCGCATATTTCATGGGAAGTACTCAGAATAGCTTCTTCCCCATTCCGATATTACAGCATAAGGATGTGCTAAATGATAAATAACTTTACCAACTCTTACGTGAATCGTACAATAATAGTGGTTCCTTCGTCCTATAATCTTAGATTTTTCAAACGTAGCATGAAAAAGCATGTAGTGACTCGACATAGCGCGGCCAACCGTTAAGAGTAGAACATTTACTGGATATCGCCCTGTCGCTGGTGGTGGTGACATGGTTGGATATAATAAAAAGTTAAAAATACACTTCGCTGTGTTCCAGGCTGGCAATGTGGTGACCGGTGAGATGGTGGAGGAACTGATATTGTCTGGTGCTGATATTATTAAGGTGGGTGTAACTGTCTTATCGCCAAACTTTTTGGACACGTTCAAGTCTTATAAGGGACTAGCGATCCGACCCGGATTCGCATGAGTAGATAGAATTTTCGAAAATAATATGTAGTCTATGTTACTCCCTGATAATGTAGCTTTCTATACGTATAAGAAAATTTTAAATCAGTTGTATAGTTTTTGAGTTTATCCATTATCTTTTCTTTTAATAATATTGGTGGAAATATATTGAGATAGAGCATCCAATATTAGTAGTGTTCATGTCTACAGGCTCCTAAATTAGTATTGGAAACTCTAAGGCATTTGATGTAGCTATCGCAACATTGTGTGCAAAGGCTTCGCAATTTTTATATAGCAAAGTACAAATTGTCAATCGACTATGGAGGGCCGTTGCACAATTGCAAATTTGTGCTGAACTGAATGCAAACCGCAGTCTTTGCATTTAGCAATGTTCAATTTTATCGGTAACTTTTAATAAGGATATTAATGATTTAATTACCCACAGGTGGGCATAGGTCCAGGATCTGTGTGCACAACTCGGATTAAGACTGGCGTAGGGTATCCACAACTGTCCGCGGTCATTGAATGCGCGGACGCAGCGCACGGTCTCAAAGGACACATTATATCAGTAAGTATTATATTTAACTTTAATAAATATTTATTATTTATTTTTATACATTTATAAATATTTATATTTATTTATTTTCCCATGGGTATCATAATTGAGATTTGAGACGACTAAGAGAATTCAGCGTCTCTCTCATAACATAACCAAAGGATAACTTCGGCTGTCAATCCGCCTACCAAGCGTGGTAACTAAAAAAGAAATAATACTTCGTCCTCGTGTTTTGATGATGCGTAAATTAATTAATTTACGGCATCGAAAACAATGTACATATAAACTTAATTAAATCTTACTTATCAGACTGAATTCAAAAGGTAGCTTTATATTTCATGTGTGATTGGGTGTACTTCAAGGGTCTATTATTGGTCCTAATTTTGTTTCCATGATTTTCATAGAATACCATATATTAAGCTCGCCATTTGTACAAATTTTATTGCGCAATAAAGAATAAATAAATATTCCATAGATAGTATATTATTTTAAGATAACACTTTTGAATATTGATAGAAAATATCTTTTTTAAATATATAAAATAAAACAAATTTTAGAGTAAATATGTTTTTGTGATTTGTTATATTAATAAATATTATAATAAATATAATATTTATAAATATTGAGTTTCTCAATTCTTTATTTTCAACAAAAGAAAGAGTTAAAACACCTATAACACTCATAACTCCGTTAGTTTAAAACTGATTTGGCCTTTTTATATCTAAAAGGTAATATACTTACAGATTCTTTCTGTCGATATTGATTTGTTCTCGTGCTGGTAGTCATATTAAATTTGTCATTAGTGAGCAGTTGTTTGTAAAACATATAATAAAATGTAAAACAAATTTGGTATTGATTTTCCAAACATCCTTTCAACACTAGGACGGTGGTTGCACGTGCCCAGGAGATGTTGCCAAAGCCTTCGGCGCCGGCGCTGACTTCGTAATGGCAGGTGGAATGTTCGCCGGGCACGACCAGTGTGGGGGAGAGGTGGTCACCACAGGTGACGGGCGGAAGGTGAAGCTGTTCTACGGGATGTCTTCATCCACGGCGATGTTGAAGCATTCCGGTGGAATCGCGGATTATAGATCTTCTGAAGGTATTTATTTTAGTATAAATTTACTACAGCTTTCTAATAAACACATTTTTATAAGTAGAAATTTAAATAACACAGAGCATAACCGTTACAAACAGAGGGGTTACCATTCCATTGTCATCCATTAAAAAAAATAGATAAGGACGAAACCTGGTCTATTGGCCCATCATGATGAAGTCATCAGAAAACCACGATGGTTTCCAAAGTCCACGTCAAGAAGCACGTGGAAGTCGATCTAATAGGATAATTGCTAGCAACAGGGTTGCCATTCCTTACTACTAGTTTTTTGTTTATCTTCTAAAGCTTCAGTATCTCAAGGAATTGGTCATTTTAGCTTTTTATATTTAAAATTATGGGTGTACATTCTGAAAGCCTTTAGTATCGCTATAAACTAATACAATATTTCAGGTAAAACAGTAGAAGTGGAGTACAGAGGGGACGTGGCGACTACAGTTAAAGACATCCTCGGTGGACTGCGGTCAGCGTGCACCTACGTGGGAGCCGCCAGGCTTAGGGAACTACCAAGGAGGGCCACCTTCATCAGGTGTTGTAGACAAGTGAACGACACCTTCTCGTAATTCATGATGCCCTGGTACAATTTCTATCAAATGGCATTGTAATTTCCGTGTGATATTTTTGTCGAGTGGTATTATTAGCTTACCATCAGGTAGGCCGTATGCTTGTTTGCCATTTAACACTTAACTTGCCACATAGCACATTCGTCAAAAGTATGGTTTTTGACATTTTATAGCATAACCATCGTAAAAATAAGAATAATTTGTGACAATAAATATTGTACCTTATTTTTGAGGGAATAAAAAGGTTTTTATTATGAGATACGTCGCAAGTCGCTTACGTGATAGATAAAACAAAGTGGTAATAAAAGGAATATCACTCGACAAACGGAATACACGCTCGTATAGTAAATGGATTAGATAACGAAATTATTGAAAGATATATTGTGATGATTATTTGTTCCAATATAACTTTAATGAAAATATATTTAAAGATGTCATGTCCAATGCTAAATGATTATATATTATTTACAACTGACTTCAAAAACAATTGTGTTCTCGATTCGGTTATATTTTTTCTTTTGTATATTTGTTACCTCATAACTCGGTCTTTCTTTTTTCTTTTTATCTGAAAGGATATACTTACAGATTGGTCGATACAAATTTTATCAACATTACTTCAGTAGTTTAGTTTTCAGAACTTAATAACTGTCAGAATCGATTATTTTTCTACGTTTTTCTACGATATCTATATATATATATATATATATATATATATATATATATATATATATATATATATATATATATATATATATATATATATATATATATATATATATATATATATATATATATATATATATATATATATATATATTACATATACTTATATACCAGGGACGCTTGATCTTGACTAAAAAAATGCAACATTATGTGGAAAAGAAATACTAGTGACAAAAATACACTCTATCTAGACGACAGTCCTGAATCACACATACTTGCAGCCTCTCAAAGTCGATGGATCATAGTCTAACAATATACAGATAGATCGCCAGCAGTTCAAGTCTGAGCATACCTGACGTAATAATTCGATTTGTTATTTACCTAATTTTCAGAGTGATTCTGTGATAAGGTCAACAAAACTTGGTTATTATTTATTTATTTAAACTTCAATGCACAGTGAAACTATGTACATGTAGCGAACTTAACACCGGACGGTGTTCTCTACCAGTTAACCATTGGGCAAACAGAGAAATAAATAGGCATGCAATGGCAATGCATTCTTGAATTGAGGAAATATAAAAACTAATATAAACATACACATAATAAATTGTAATTAAATATATTTTCATTAAATTCTATTGAAATAGATTATAAATAGGTAGTATATTTACTATTGTGTCCCGATATGAAGAATATTGTTGCGTGAACGAATTGTGAACAAGAAAATGACATTTTGCTGTTTGTCTTTATTTTGTTTTGTTCGGTTAATAGCTGTCACTCGATTAAAACAATAAAATACCGGGAGTATTTTACTGAACTAAGTGTTAACTTATGGAAGTCCATATCACTGGTTATATAATTAGAATTATATTATTTATTTCTTCTTTTATTCTTTATTGTACACAAACATACAATTTTAAACGTAATATACAAAGGAGAGCTTGTCTCTAATAAGAGATTTCTTTCAGCAAACCATTTCTGTTTTGTTTTGCACGTTCTGCAAAACGTGAGTAAGCAAAATGGCAGTCGGTGATTGATGGCTATTATGGAAGGTTGTGGAACTTCTGGTAGTAATAGTGAAGAAAGAAAGAAATAATTTAATCAAAGAAGCATGCGGCCCACACAGTAGCGCACAAAACAAGAACAAAAGAAACCAAAACAAAACAAACAAAAGAAAATAATAATTGTACACAAATAATTGAAAGCAATTAAATTATAATAATAAACAATAATCGACCCCACAGGTATATACGAATGTGTACGCGTACGCGCGTGTGTCGCAATGTTCTATGATGTAGGTCCGTGCTCAGCATATTGCTGCAGCGCTTGAAGCGCTACAGCGCTGTTTTTCAGCAAGAACCATAGCGTGGTAAATTTCCGAGTGTTAGCGGTCACACACATACTAATGGTAGCGGAATTAAACTAAATAATTCTAATCAAAAATAACTAGTGATACCTATTGATATTTTTATTTATACTTGATATAATGAAGCATGAGCACTTGCGCCAAGCAAAAAAAAACACGTATTTAAATCCCCTTATGCTTTTATTATATTTATCTATTACAACAATTTCCTCTGCTTAATTACTTATTACACACACACACCAAAGAGAATCATGCAGCGCCCTCTGGCCTACTCTACCGTAACTTCTCTTTCGTTGTCTATGCCTAATGTTGCAATTATTAAAAATAATAATTGTGGAGGCTGGAGACACAAAACAATTAAACTCAACAATACTGAGAGTATTTACTAAGTATGTGAGATTAAATTATATCTCTATGCCATCTCGTGCGCATATGTTACTACCTAATTCGTAACCCAAATGTAATTTTACATAAAAATCTATTAGAATATAATAGAAGAATAAAAATCCTCTTCACTCAAATAGAATGGAATCATTTAATTGTAATTTTTTTATGATTCAACGGCTGGGTGGCTGAGAATGTTGTTATTTGCTGCGAAGAAACCGCAACAAACTCAGCAGTGGCTCTTTTCAATTTGTTTATGTACCTACTACATAATTTTGTATTAACATTTGTACAAACATAAAATTATGTTACTGACTGATTCCGACTAATAAATTGAGCGGGAAAAGTGTTCTATACATAAGTATGTAATACATGTAAATGTTTTTTTTTTCACAAGTTGTTTATCGCAAATTCTAAAGGTTCCGTCGACGGTCAAGCGGCTTGAATCAAGCATGTATATTATGCTACTTTTAAGACGAAGATTCTCCTACAATGTTCTCTTATAGTAATAATCTCCTTTAGATGCTTTGTTTCATTTTATAAGTGACTAGTAAACCGGCCCGGTTTCGCTCGGGTAGATAGAATTTTCGACGTAATATATAACTCATGTGATTCGCTGAAAATATAACTATAAGAATTTTAAAGTCGAGTATATCAAACAAACAATCAAAACTTTCACCTTTATTATATAGATAAAATCAAGCCATTAAATGGTATCACAAGACCGTCTACGGAGTCCATAATAGGCAAATTATTAAAAAAGATATGGCCAGCCGTGATACTTTTTTATTGTGTTATCCACAAGTTATATATCTCCACATTTAAAGCCTAATAAATTCTATTTATATATTGTTCTGTCCGTAGAAATATAACGCTTCGCACATGATCAATTTGTTGGTGCTACATTTATATGAGTATTAAAAAATTCCGCGTGACTGTACTTTTATAAAGGGGCTAGATCTGAAGGACGTTTAAATCACAATCCTATATAGTAGTCAATAAGAATTAAATTCAATTAATGTTGTCCTTTTTCTGTATTAAAATGTCATTTTACAAAATACAGTACGTTAAATTTTAGCTTCGATATTTCGCCAATTGTTGCTACACTGTGGTATTTGTAGTACTGCCTTACGAATTGGATAGGCTAATTAAACATTTATACATAGATTAATAGCACCTAGATAGAGCGTGTCATAGTGGCTACTGTTTGGACAGCTTGACTACGGTTCACGAATTTCAAGACCCATTCTAAATCTTTAAAATTCATGTTCGTATCATTTAAAAGATTTACACTTGCTTTGTGCTTTGAAAATCATATTAGAGACCTTCTTGTGTAAAAATAAATATGGACTAGAAATTTAAAAACAGAAGGCAACCACCTCATAAGATTATTAGTACTCATACAATGGGGTCGATTCTGAGGCGTGATTTCTCTAAACCTACTTGTATTTCTTGACCTAATATTTTAATTTGTAAGATTCGCGAAATTATTATTTTATGAACAGTTATTAACTAAATTTATAATAATTTTGTCTTATATCTATTAGAAATTTAGTCCTTAGAGTTAGAATTACGCTGTGGTATCAAATTGAAATATTAACTTTAGAGATAGGTTTCAAGAAATGATGCCTCAAAATCGAACTCTGTGTTTCTCTACAAACGCTTCGCCAAATAAATAAGTCCAACTTTATTCCTGTGTGATTGAATTCGAAATATAAATCGACTTATGTGTTATTTCAGTATATCCGTGAATTCTGAAAACTATCGCAACTAGTTTTGTTTTAATATGCCAAGTGTTATTTGATATTTTGAGACATTTTTTTATATCTCACACTCCATCTAGTTGCGTATAATCTATATACATAAGTACACTGTGCTTCAAATTAATGCTAAAAATTAAATAGCAAAATTTGTATTTTATCAAGCGTGTCTTAGGTATTTGTTAAGAATACTGGAAAACAAAATTTTTGTACCTATTTTATGGGTTTCTATGTATTTGACTGTTCTGGATTGCATCTCCAGATGTACGTTGCTTGGTTCCTCATAATATTATATCCTAATTTGAGGATCAAGCGGTTGATGTGAGTGTGTGGCACTTATTTTTTTTTTAATCAACTATTGACAGATAGGTACTTATCCGTAATGTTTTTTTTTTTTATTTAATATTAAGCACAAATTAACTGTGATCGTTTTAAATTATGTTAAACGAAAAGAAACCACGTTTAATACATATTAAAACATACATTTGATTGTATGAATCTGATATGAAGGAACCTATTTTCAATAAGATGGAACTTGTTTCTTGCTATATGAATAAATATTTCAAGTGTTAAAAATGCTGTTGCTAATTTTTTTTATTGACATGTTTAAATAAATAATGATGCGTATAAATATTATTAGATGAAATTAAATATAGTTATGACAATTCATATGTCGTTTTATTTCTGATAAAAAATCGTTAAAAAATAATTTTTAATCTATAACATAATGTTGCAGAGTAGTGGCGATTTTTTTTATACCACTGAGGTGGCAAACAAGCATACGGCCCACCTGATGGTAAGTGGTTACGTAGCCTATGAACACCTGAAATACCAGAGGTATTACGCGCGCGTTGCCGACTCTGAAGAAACCTCTTTACCCCCCTTTTTTTATTTTTTTTTATACCACCAAGATGGCAAACAAGCATTACAGCCCGTCTGACGGTAAACGGTCACTGTAGCTTATGGACGCCTGCAACACTTAAAATGTTACAAGCACTTTACCGATCTTGAAGAAACCTTAATACACCCTTTTTGAAGACCTGTGTGTCTTTAGGGAAAACCTCGACAGGGAGGATGGCCGTGAGCTCATTCCATAGCCAGAGCGTTCGCGAGAGAAAATTTATTTGAATTCACACTGTACTCTAACAAATAACTCTAATCAACTAATCAGTGTTATGTAATTCGGCTAAATAGCACCTAATATACGAAGTCAGATAAAAATACATATAAGTATTTTATAGCATTATATTAAAAGCTAGGCCGTGTAGTCCCGGCATAGAATAGGCCACCGCTTCCTTTCCCGTGGGTGTCGTAAGAGGCGACTAAGAGAGGACGAGGGATGGGCAGCAGCGTCTTAAAACGTCTCTGAAGCCTAACTGCGATTGTCTAACCGCCTGCCAAGCATGGCAACATCTGGTAAAACCCCCAAGGAGGTGTTTGTTCAGCAGTGGACAGTTATACTAGTTCTAATAATAGATTATAACATAACCTTATAAGAGAACTTACGCTTTTCATATTTCAATGCGGTGATGATAATAATTTGAAGTATTAATAACAAAGACACTTTTCTTACAACCATTATAATATGTTAGCTAATTTTTGTTTCCATGTGTTCAAGTCATAAAACTGCTTTTTAATCTCGACTTTATTTCCAGCTCTCTCAATTAATTATTGTTTCAATTTAAAATTGCTTTATTGTTTTTTTTAATGACTTTGTAGTCAAGAATTTGTCGATTGAGTATAATTTAATGCTGCTCTGTTAATATTTGCATAATTTAATTAGTATTATATTAATACTGTTTTATTATTATGCCGAATTCGTCTTTCGTTAAAAACTGCTGCTAGTGAGTTTGCAGTTATGTACTAATTAGATCTTTAGAAACTGGTCAGGTGCGAGTTAGACTCACACGCTAAAGTTTTCGTACATATATGACATAAAATAACTTTTATTTTATTTTTCATATGAAATAGGCACCTTTGGGAGACTGAACAAAAATCGTTTGGTTGGACACGTCTGTCCCATTCGTGTTTCTACCGTGAAGCAGTTATGTTTGCATGGCTGTGTATCGGTTTGAAGGGCTGTGAATTTATAGGGTACAGAGGAATAACATCTGATTCCCCAGGGATGGCAACGCATGGGGGGTATCATTGGCGAAACAGTATACTCTGTTATGTCCATGGTACTGCTCATGTCTATAAGCGACGGTAACCACTTTCCATCAGGTGGAACGTCAGCTTGTTTGCCATTTTTAAGTTGCATAAATAAATCTTATAATTATTATTATTGAGACTACATTTCGTAATTTATTTTTTGGCTATAATTGTGGTTAAAAATTGGACCGCATAACTAAATAGTTAGAAACATCGATTGTATTTTCTTATAATATTCACATTTTAGTATTCATTTACTTCAAAAACTTCGGAGATAAGGAGAGGTGAAAATAGATTTTTTTATTACATTATTAATCAAAACTAAAAAACTATGCAATATAAAAATAAATAAAAATCAATATCTAAATATATTTCAAATAGATATGAAGTTTTTTCATATCTATTTGAAATAGTAGGTCGTTTTTGAAATTTTAAGTATCCGTTTTGAACCTCTTTGTAAAGAAAATAAAAATACTCTTTCTATTATTTCTATTGCATTATGGGCGGATCAATGTAAAACTATTCCATATTTCAAATCGAATACATTAGTAGTTGCTGAGATATGACGAACGGATGGATGGACAAAGTCCCACCATAAGGGTTCCTTTGTACCTTTTTGGTATGTAATCTTAAAAAGATGAATGGCAACTGGATTATTACCACACTGCTGTTTAATTATTGTATTTAGATGAAAATTGACAGAGAAATGGCTAGAATCTGGTTAGAAAGTCAAAGTTTCGGAAAAGTGATGGTTTCTTAGATTATCTTGTCATTTCTTGTAATTTTGTGAATAGTTAAAGATGAAATACAACGTTATTTCGATGATGACAAAACGATGAATAGGAATCTCAGTAAAATATTTCACTTTAGTATAAATCCGAAGAGCCGCTTCAGCACTGGTGATGAGAAAGGACATGATGTAGATGATGAATAAAATTAAAATATTCCAGCAAAATTAATGCAATAAAAATCACTCACAATTCACTTATTCACAGACTTTATTGGTACAAAGCATTTTTGAATTTTTCAAACAGAAAAACGTGTTACATTTCAAGACTTCCGTAGAGCCGGGTACACATTTACTATCATTATTCAGCGTGACCATTGACTTCCTCAATACCATCTTCAAAACATTTTTCAAAACCGTTGGAAGACTGAACTTTAGAAAATCTGTATTACCTTGAATAGTTTTTGGTGTATTTGATTTTGTTTCTTCTGATTTTTTAATTTATCTCAGAACATCGTTTGGAGTTGAAACTTCAGTGAGTTTATTTCTTGTACATTGTAAAGATGGTTTTATTTCTGTTTCAATGACTATTTTATTATTTGAGTTTCCATTCTGATCACTTGTATCTTCAATTCTATCAAAGTAATTTACCTCCCTGCTGTTATATTGTTCTTCGTCTTGATAAGGAATTTATGTAAATCCTTTCCGGGTGATGATTTTTGCCTCTTTATTTTCAATATCTTCATCACTCTTTGAAGAGGAGTCTTTTTTATTTATATTGCCTAGAACTATATTTTCATCCTCATTTCCTTCACGATTTACTTCAATTGCAATATTGTTTTCTTCTTTAGCAATATCTATAATAGTAAAAGATGTATTAACTATAGAACTAAATTTATTTTGTTGCATTTCTAGATATCCCGCTACGTCTTTCTTTTTATTTTGTCGTAAAGTATTTTGAATATCTGGAATTAGCTCTATTGCTTCTTTTATTAAATCTTCACCACATACGCTCAGATTATAATTTCTCAATTCCAATTTCTTAGTTAGATAACGTCCTCTATTACATAGTAGTTTATTTTCGTTGACACAGTAACAAAATTGACAAGGTGCTAAGGAGTACCAATTCTTTCTTTCATATGTATCGTATACATGACTCAGTATGTTTGATTTTCTGGGATTGCTCGTATATTGTTGAATTTTATCTTTACACATATTTTTAGTGCAATGTTTCTTGTCGATTTCACCATTCGAGTTATTATTTCACCATTAGAGTTCATAGGCGGTTTTTTGGTGTTTTTTTTGTTAAAACAAAAATCAAATTAGTACGAATTTATTATCTTTTAAAAACGTAGGTTTATCAATAGCTACACACAACTGAGAATTGCTTCTGAAACAATGTTCTTCTATAAGAATATGTCGGTCTTCGCATTCGCAGATGAAGCAGTCGTCCATGATTCTACCTGGCTTGGAGCATTCGTATTCTGTATGGTTGTGATTCAATGGAATTATTTCCATGGTGCTCATAGTTGAGTTGTGCTGGGTCGAGTTATCTGTAACCCAATTAAATACTAACACACAGTTTAATTCTTAATTTAAGCAGTCCATCACTAGGCACAAGTTTTTCTGCTTAAGAGGAGTATATAGTAGGCATGAGTAATATCGGTTATATTGCAATATCGAATCAAACATTGAGGGGGGAAAGGGATTGTTAGTAATGGAGACTGAGGAACCCATTGCTAGCAATATTGGGTATATTCCAGGTCGACCTCCTCGCGGTTCTCCCTGGAAACTATCATGGTTAATTCCTGATGAATTCATTATGATGGGCTAACTGGCCTGTTTTCATTCTCATCTACCACCCTTCACTGGTGCTCCGCCAGCGTATCCCGTTAGCGCAGGCGGGGTTACCATACCATTTTCACCTATCAAAAAAAAATCATACATTGATATTAGATTTGAATATAGAGATATCGTAAATATTTATTTCATTATATAGTCCAATGGAATGTATATATGGGATATTAAATACTCATTCATCACCGTAAAGTTGATCACTGATTAAGATCACTCGATTCAATCTTCGCCTTTTTAAATATAGCCATATTAAAAAAAAACTTATTAAAAATCGAATAGAAGTAAAAATAAGAGAGAAAAAGAAAATGTAGTCCGCATTCATTATTGTTATTCATTACCTTGATTGTTTCTTCTGCCCATAGGTAAGTAGTTGAAATATGGGAACGCTTGTTTACAGTAAGTTCCCTCAGGTAGAGGGCGACAGAAGTGGTTGATATTGCCCATATAGGGACATATGCATTGTCTACATCTACAATGTTATCACAAATAACAATAATAAACATTAGTTCTCGATATATATATTTTTTAAATGGATGATAATGGAATGGTAACCCCACCCGCGCTATCGGTATACACCGGCGGGGCACCAGTGAAGGATGATAGGTGAGGATGAAGTAGGTCAGTTAGCCCATTGTGACGAATTCAACAAGAATTATTCACGATGGTTTCCAGGGGGAACCACGTGGAGGTCGACCAAATAAGGTATATTGCTAGCAATTGGGCTGTCAAACTCCATTGCTAACAATCCTTTTCCCCCTAGTTCTCGATATATTGAGTTGTGACTGCATACACATTTTCGTTTTTACATTACATATTCTTTTCCTGGTTTCTTATAGGGTATCAGGCTTGAAGACTAGGCGATTTATGTGATGTAGAATTCTTCTTAGCTTCGAAATATTGTTGTTCAAATAAGAGATTCAGAGGATTACTAAATAAGTAAATTATACTAGCTTTATGTCCACTATTTCGTATGCATCAATTTCAAAAGTAGGAAAAACAAATTGACCATTTCTAGATAGCGTATTAATAAACCATATACCAGATCTCAAGGTAGACCTTCAGAAACATAAGTGTTATCCGAATCCAATTTGGTTTAGTAGTTCTTGCGTCTTATCGCAACAAATAGACAAACAAAATTTCTAAAAACTATTGTGTTGGCATCTATTAGTCTTAAGACCTCTCATATAATCTTTTCTTTCATATCTCCAATGTACAGGCATTTAGTTATAATTTTAATATATTAGTAAAAATATTGATTAAATATAACTAAATTTCCTGCCCCCTAGAGAAGTGATCAACGAATTTCTCGGCAAATATTTCGTTTTACGTCACTCTTCGAGTATATCGTGTGATTTGACGTAAAACGAAACAGTATGCGATGCATCTTGTCTATCGAGAGTTTTGTTACCCACCTCACTAGAGTGTCACAGGCTGGATCAGATTTGATTTAAATGGGGATTCTAAATATGTAAATAAAAAAATATCTTTCGAATTACCGGATGATGTACATGGATCCGGGCGTACATTCCTTCCTCTCTGAGCTGTCTGTCAGGTTAAAAGACATGCAATCCTCGCTTTCTCTTCTGGATCGAGTGTGAGATTCTTCAGGGCGATTAGAACCATTTGAAGATACTTTATTCTATGAATTTTCATGTGATTATAGATTTTTTTCCGATTGATTGTTAACAGATGGAAAATATTTTTCTGGGTATAATCATCATCATTTCAGCCTTTAATTGTTCACTGCTGGATATGGATTTCCTTCTATTAGGGTTCTGCCAGTAGTTGTCATGCTTAAGAGGCGGGTTGGCAACTGTAGTTAAACTTTGGTGATGTTTAAAGATGGCCGCTGCTGTCACGATAATTTCTAGATATTATTATAAAAAAATAATATTAACAAGTTATATAAATCATTTGCATTTTTGTGCAAAGATTTTAGTTTAACTTACATAATTTTTGTGAATAATTTCATCGTCACATAAAATTTGAGTACAGGAAGCATAAGCTCTTAACCCCATATCTGGACAAATGCACACTTTGCAATCGACCTCAAATTCTTCACCGGGAAAACATATATCCAATTTCCTTGTACTGTCGTCTAGAGAATGCCGATTAGACAAACTTTGTGAAAGCATAAATATTCTTTTCCAAGGCGTGTCTAAATCGGTGCATATATGATTAGTACATGCTCTATCCGCTTTGTTGCTATTAGGCGGACACACACACACATTACAATCTTCGCTGAATAATTGACCAGGAACACAACTATCGGATCTTAAGAAATTCTTTTCACACACATTCTTAGTGCAACGCGCCACATTCTTAAAACCATCCCGGGGGCAGAAACATGTGTTACAATCTACGATATAGTATTCCAAAGGTTCGCATGTTAAGGCGTCATTGTTTACTGATTGCTCCAAATCATCGCAAGCATTTTTTGTACAGACTCGTTCTTTAAAAACACCTGAATCAGGACATATACAAAAGTTGCAATCCACTTTAGATATTGATCCTGGTGTGCATGTGTCACTGAATTCTGGAATTGTTATTATCGGTAAATATTGTTTAATCTTCTGTTGAACTATTCTTTTTGCTTCGCAATCATCGTAAGTACACCATTTGACATCAACCGTTCCGTCTTTTGAACAATAGCAAGTATTACAATTAATTTCAACAAATGTATTAGGTTTACAAGTTTTATTAAATACTTCATTAGTGATATCATCGGTAATTTTTATATATGATCTTGTTGTATATATCTCATGTTCAGTTACGGAAGAGCAAAGTTTAAAACTAGTACTATCATTTTCTGGACATAAGCAATATCTACCCTGATCTATGTACACTGTGTTTGGTTTACAAAACTCATTTGCAGTTGTCTTACTAATAGCTTCTACGTCTATCAGATTTCTATTTTGAAGACTATCTTTTAAAACCTTTTGTAAAACGTTGAGTTTACTTATATACGAACATTCTCTTGTACAATAGATACTATTTGTTTGCCCATTATCTAAACAAAAGCATTCGATACAAATTGGTACCATTTCTCCGGGACTACATGTCTTTTTTGTTATACTCGTATCATATTTGAATTCACTGCTTTTCAAACAATCTAACTCAAGACAAGCATTTTCATTCACATACCCTTTAGTGTTACAGTCACAGTAGTAACATTTTGCTTTTGTGAATGTGCCAGGTACACATTTTAATGATCCTCTTCTAAAATTTTCTAGATATTTGAATTTTGGATTTTTATTGCAAACAACGTTAGTACAATATTTCTCATCAGGTATACTGTCTTCAGGGCACCAACAGACATTGCAGTTCTTTCTGTAAAAAGTTTTCGACGTACACCTTCTGGGTGATTCTGTATTCAACGTAATATTACAAGTTTCTATGCACTTGTCAAGTATAAAATATCCGCTATCCGAACATAAACAACGCAGACAAGGAAATAAGTACATTACATTTGGTATGCATACGTTTTTGTTGGTGATAAAATCGGATGGCAATTCTTCCAGACAAGATGTGTCTAGAGTACAAGTGGCTTCAGAAGTCCAACCTGACGTTGGACAAACGCATATACTACAGTTCACGTAATATGATTTTAAAGGAGTACACCAAGGGCTCATTGTTGATAACTTTTCACGTAGAATCAAAGGAGCAATAACGGTTGTTGTTTCTTCATAGCAAACTGATGCAGTACAGTCTAATTGTCCATCTTCTTGACAAATGCATTGGTTACAGCCTTTCCATATAATCTGACCTGATTGGCATTTTTGTCGACTGTGGCAGTTTGTTTCGTTCCAACGGCCAGTGCTATTACATATACACAATCGTCCATTCAGAAGAAATTTCGTATTTGGAATGCACGTATCTAGAAGCAAACATAAATTAAAATCGCTAAAAACGTAACTGACGACAGAAATATGGTGTAACACTTACAGTCTGTGTATACAGATGAAAAATGTGATGATAAAGTTAGAAACGCTATTACCATTAGCATTTTCTAACTATAATTAAAATATAAAATTTTTTTGCTGTTCAAAAAGTAATATAAACTAATTTCACGGATAGTAAACATGTAAGCTAATAAAGTTCTAATTCTCATGTGTTGTTTTTAATTTCAAACCGTGATTGAAATTCTCGTGAGAAATTAATTGTTTTTATAATTTAAAAGTCACTATTTATGAGATATAACAATATAAAACTTGTTTAAAAAATATGCTGCAGTTATATTATATACCCCCATGATATCTTTATACAACTTAGAATGGCAAACAAGCTGACGGCCCACACGATGGAAAGTGGTAACCGCCTAGACATGAACACTGCCATGGACATAATAGAGTATACTGTTTTGCTCATGATGCGATGCTATTCCTGAGGACTCAGGTGTTATTCCTTTGTACACTGTAAATTCACTGTCATATCCCATTCTTTAAATCGAAACATAGCCACGCAAACACAACTGCTTCACGGTAGAAACACGAATGGGACAGAGGTGCCTAATTTTTGTACAATCACCTTCTTGTAAAATCTTTTATGCGTAACCTTTTCTAAAGAGTAGTGTTATGCCACCATACCCTGTAACTTTCTTCCTCTTTAAACCGCGACCACACGAGTGATAGATATGCACAATCTGATGATTCTTATATAAAGTATGTGGCGTTTCGACTTGAAGGATTATTTAGTAACATAAGAGGCATTTGCATGCCATAGATTAACCATTTATTATTTATAAAAACATCAAACCTTTCATAAAGCTATTTCAGCTATTGTTTAGCTAGAGTTTCGTCTCTTTCTTTTGTGCTAAATTCTTAATTTGAATGAAAGTGACAAAACAGTGTAATAGTTAAATAGATTTGTAGGAGGTTTTAGCTTTTATGAATAAGGGGGTAAGAATATTATAACGTATACGCTCGTGAGTCTAAAACTTGTAATTTGCATGCGAATGGTACGAATTGGCCACTAAGGACAATGTGGCACATTTTTAGACAGTTAATGAAGACGACCTACTTTTAGTCGTGGATAAGGAATAGTAAAACAGGTTGTCTGTAAGAGATTGCTTTTAGCGATAAAGCCGCCTTTTGTATATGCACATTCTGTATAATTACTCCTTGTATACATCTCTACTGTGCGCAATAAAGAGTTTATTATTATTATTAAAAAATTTATGAAAATTGAAAATGAAAGACAATTGATAATTTTAATACTCCACTAAAAAAAACACGAACAATTAAATATTAAACTCCATATGATCATTTAATTTTGAAATAACTCTTCTAAATATGAAAGCTAGATGATTGGAACACTATAGACCATGTTTTTCTAGATACAGACGGCGTTTCTTTAATTTAAGAAACTGTACGTAGTTCAGACATATTTTCTGGGTACATCTCAGAGTACTGTCATCTTGACAATAACATTTGTTGCAGTCATCGCTGAAATAAACATCATTATCTTAAAATTGGTGGTAGAGATTTGTACGACAAGGCTTAGCCCAAACCAAGTAATTTGAAGGTCTATGTCATGTGATTTGGGTTGAGTTTTGAATGCCATGTGAAATTGGATATGCAAGACTCTTCATGGAATGACATGCCGTGTCATGGGCATAACAGCTGTTCTGTTGTGCTGCATTATGAGTTACTATTCTAGATTATGTAGAATGTAATGTCAACGACAATATCACTCTAATCAAACCAAATAAAATATAAGCATACGTGCATATTTTCTTAATGACCAAAAATGAAACACTAACATTGCCTGCATTATCAATGTACGCTGATGAGGTAGAGACGATAGGTAGGGATGAAAACTGGACAGTTAGCCTATCGTGACAACAAGAATCAACCACGATTGTTTCTAAGGGGAAGGATGGATAGCGCATGGAGGTCGACTTGACAGGTTGACTTGTTTGAAATAGAGCTGCCCAATCTAAACCCCATTACTAACTACATAAGTACAAATGTGACAGGGCGTCTGTACAGATGATTGTAGTCTGTCGCTCGTTAAAGATGAGAAGACGATGATGAAATTTATAAAGTTTGTCTTGAGTTTAACAGTAGGAGAAGCCCAGAAGTTCAATAATAAGAGGCACAACTCTATTTTTATATTTTATACAAATTAATAATTTATTAATAATATTATATAATTTATAATAATAATATCAACCAGAGGGAGACTTTGTACAAAAGTCGATTGCTTGGGTACCTCCGTCCCATTCGTGTTTCAACCATGAAGCAGTTGTGTTTGCATGGCTGTGTTTCGGTTTGAAGGGTGGGCGTATATATGGCGTGAATTTACTGGGTACAGAGGAATAACATCTGAGTCCTCAGGAATGGCAACGCATGGGGGGTATCATGGGTGAAACGGTATACTCTGTTATGTCCATGGTACTGCTCATGTCTATAGGCGACGGTTACCATTTTCCATCAGGTGGGCCGTTAGTTTGTTTGCCATTCTAAGTTGTATAAAAAAAAACGTACGGAAGCCACCATAGTTTGCAGAGAAGAGAGAAAGAGCGGGCGGCAGATAAGAAAGGCCAGTGTTCAATACAGATTAAATATTGTATAGGATATAGATTACTTATTCTAACAATTTGTGTGTACATACATACAATAGAACTTACTTATAAACTGAAAATGGTATACATTTGTCATTATCTTTCTTTAAACTGAGCATTAATTTAGGCTTCTTTTTTCCATGCTCCCCGTGTGGTGTCCTCATTGCGTTAGGTATACAGTCCGGTATTTCTTTACAACGAGTAAGTTTAGTTATGCAAGAGCATTTAATGCATTCATTTTCTGTTGTTTCATTTTCCTCGCAAGGCTTCCCTGGTTTAATGAAAACATAATTAAATGAGCTGGAATTTACTAGAACAGTACAATAATTAATAGATAACAAAAGAATTACAGTGAATTGATTTCAACTCATGATTTTATTTCCCCATTTCTTTCCCCTAAAAAAAGACTATTTGGTCTGTGTTTTTCAATAAATTTTTAAATATGATTGTTAAAATGTGTATTTTAGACCAGAATTTGCACTTCGAAGTAATGAAGTTTAACAGTCTCATTGTTAGCAATACATTGATCAGTTCCACGTGGCCACCATTTGGAATTAACGTGGTTAATTCCAAAGAAATTGTACTGACTTTGAATTATTTTCTACTATCATTAGTCATTGTTATACTTCAGCATATACTTATAACGTAAGCGGGGTTACCAATCTTATTAAATTCATTAAAAATATATATATATTTATTTATATACTTGTAAAAAAACTATTCTCACCAGTATATTTAAGAGCTTTGATTCTATATGTATCATTAAAACTTAAACACAGCATCTTCGAGCACAGTAAGTTTCTATTTATTAAACATAGGCAAAAGTTGCAGTCCACTTTGTAAGCTTTACCAGGTTCGCATCTTGTGGCAGTATTCGGCAGCAAACTTAATGAGTTTAGTTCCTCCTTTTCAAAGCGAGGACGGACATCTTCTGGTGTTAGCATTAATATACTACCTAAAACATTTACAACAGTTATATATGCTCAGTTATTCGATTTTCAAATTTAAGCTCTGAATATATTTTCAGAATTAAACGATATCGTAAACTAAGTAAGCCGTATAGTTCCGGCATATGGTAGAATAGGCCACTTCTTCCTTTCCCGTGGATGTCGTAAGAGGCGGTTAAAGGAGCTTACGGTGGAGGGATGGGTAGCAGCGTCCCTCATAAAACAACTCGAAAGCCTAAACGCGGTTGCCAACCCGCGTGCCAAGCATGGCAACTACTGGCAAAACCCCCAAGGGAAGGCTTATGTTCGGCAGTGGACCGTTAAGGACAGATATAATGATGATGATGTCGAGTAAACTAAAACGTTACCATATGGTATTTCAAAGGCGAAACTTTTGCTTTCTTAATTGTAAATACTACGACAGTTTTTAATAAACTAAATTTTTTTTGTTATGTATTGAAGTAATTTATTAAACGTAATAAATAACTTACGATCATCATTACATTGTATCCTATTTGCACATCTCGCTGTGCCTGACTGATCACAGAAGCATTTTCTGCAGCCTTTTTTATACAATTTGCCGGGTACACATTTCTTAGAAGGTACATCTGGATATTTCAGATCGGACTTCATTCGTTTCCTCAGAATGTTGTCTTTTTTCTCTTCTTGTAGTGATGATGGTTTGCTTTCATGAAATATTGCATCTATGTCTTCGTCTGTTAGGCACGCCATTTTAGTGCAGAGAAGGGAATTCTCTTCACCACATCTACATGTGTTACAATCCATGCGATACAACTTCCCAGGGACACAAGATTGACCATTTTGAATGCGAGGAAGATCGCTTTTATGGCTCCAATGGCTTATATTTGCTAAAATCATAAGTATATTAATAATTCGTTTACATTACTAAAATATTGACATAATGTACGATTACAATTCGAAAGACGTAGTTGAAGCAATTATAAAAATAAATCATAAATTCAAGCCAATTAAAATTTTATTTTGGCGTTGTGGGTGACAACAAGCCATAGTTGATTATGAAAAATCTGGGTCTACAATTCGAAGGTCTTTCTTTAAATTATATTTTAGGTCACTGCATTAAGTGACAATATGAACCTTCTAGTGTTCTAACATGTTAAGAAACAAATAAAGAAGGATTGCAATTAAAATACATTATTTAGATTTGTAACTTTATTAAAAATCGTATCATATACGAGAAATTTTGCTCCCCAAAAATACTAGTCGAAGATTGTTTTTTAAAAGAAATGTATACATATATGAATAGAATGACATGACACTATTAAAGGTTGTACTGTTGTAACATTTTAAAGAACAAATGAAGAAAGGGCTTCAATAAAATACAATATATTGATTTGGAACTTTACTTGTGCTTAAACTTTACTTTTGTAACATTACAGTAAGCTTTAAACATTTAATAATTCCTTAACATAGAATCAACTGCTTTGGAATCTAATACGAAATTTTCCAAACATATCATAGTTGTGCAAGACAAAATTCCTTTTGCGGAACATATACAAGTATTACAATTTAGCCGATATTTCTGGCCTGGTTTACAATGATCAGTTTCACTGTACAATGTGGGCAAAGAATTAAATTCTTGAAGACTTCTTGAAGATCTTAAGATGTTTTTGTCGATAGATTGATCGCATTTTCTATCTGTACATGCTAATGTCTCCCCATTCGTACATACACATCGATTACAATCTATCATATAAGCTGTATTTATTCGGCAAGTGTTTAAGTAATTTATATCTCCAATCCTTTTCCAACTTTTTCCAATATCTATAAGATATTTTACGTCACTTCTGTTGATCCTGTATAGATTAGTTTGATTATGGATTCTGATACAGAGACGATCTATGTAGTAATTAATATCACTGCACGAACATAATTCATGATCAGTTCTTAGTATTTCGCCGTATTTGCATCTGTTTGCCTTGTTTCCTCTTGTGCATTGTCGGTTGGTGCATGAACTCAATTCAATGTAACCGTTAGGGGAACACTGACATATATTGCAATCCATTATGTATAAAGTGTTTGGGGTACATTTAATATTTGTTCGTAATATGTGAGACATTTTTGTCCTTATTAGTTTGAGGTAACGGAATTTATTTCGGCAGTTTGTTGAAGTCCAATATCCTTCATTATTACAAGTGCAGGGTAGCGTTTCTTCTCGATACATTAGTTTCGATTCACATTCTCTATTTTGTAGTGTATTAGTATTTTCTGTAAAAAAATCAGGTACATATGATTGATTTTAAAATAATTATTTTCAAGCAATTTTAAAAAGAGAAGATATTTCTAATTTGTCGTGTCGATTTTGATTATTTTTTGCAACGGTTTTTTAACCTTAGTTATACTGTATTTTTGGTTTATATGTTATGGGTGATATTGTCATGTAGACTTACTTATATTTTGACAAGATTTACGTTGATACTTTTTTGAAACTTTAAATCTATGTATACTATCTTGGTGGTCATATTGTGATTATGATTAGGTTCTTTTGCAGAAGTCATTGTGATATGATTTCAATAGGCTTATTAAGTACCTTAACATTAAGTACCAGAGTAAGACTTGGGTAATTCTGTTGCAGTCATCAAGCAATTATAAGGATAACTGCTTGGTGGCTGAAACATTTAAGGACAAGGATGTATGTTAGGACATAGACGAGTATTATTTGGAAAGATGTGGATTTAAAATTAAAGGGTACGGAGGCATAACATCTTGGTTCTCAGTGTCATGTGTATATTTAGGTCAATTCATTTATAAATTTATAATTTAATAGTTATTATTTTCCATCATGTGAGTCCTTAGCTTGTGTCATTCCGTATTACACAAAAAAAAAAAATTGTGAGTAAAATTTACCTGATTCGTCCACATTACATTTTTCAGACTGGCAATAATATATACCGTCGACATTACAGATGCATATATGGCAGGGTCCTCGTGCAACGGAGGTAGGAATACATTGCTTCGAAGGTTCCACTAGTACAGCATGAAATGACATACATACATATAATGCCATATCAAGTAATGTTTACATAATTCGAGCAATCAATAATAACCGATGGATAAATAAGGTTCTTACAGCTCAAGCATTCAATAATCGATAACGAAGTAAAATTCGAATATCTCGAGTAAACCATAACTAATAGAGAAGTGAGGTTCACACAGTTTGAGTAAGCAATAACCGATGGGGAAGTAAGGTTCACATAGCTCGAGTAACCGATAGCTGCTTGGAAAGTAAGATTAACATGAACAACCGATAATCGATGGGTAAGTGAGGTTTAGATAGCTCGAGCAACCGATAATAACCAATGGACAAGTAAGGTTTATGAAGCTCAAGCATCCGATAGTTGATGAAGAAGTAAGGTTCACATAGTTCGATTAAGCGGTAACGATGGAGAAGTAAGGCTCACGTAGTTCGATTAAGCGATAACGATGGAGAAGTAAGGCTCACGTAGTTCGATTAAGCGGTAACGATGGAGAAATAAGGCTCACGTAGTTCAATTAAGCGATAACTATGGAGAAGTAAGGCTCACGTAGTTTGATTAAGCGATAACGATGGAGAAATAAGGCTCACGTAGTTCAATTAAGCGATAACGATGGAGAAGTAAGCTTCACATAGTTCGATTAAGCGATAACGATGGAGAAGTAAGGCATACGTTGTTCGGTTAAGCGATAGCGATAGAGAAGTACGGTTCACATAGTTCGATTAAGCGATAACCGATAAAGAATTATGGTTCACATAGCTTGAGCAACCGATGAGCGATGGGTAAATATGGTTCACATATTCATATAGAGGTAGTTTAGTTATTTTCATCATGCAAGTAAGCTCAATATGGAGCGGTTTAACCTGAGATGGAGTGACAGATTCTACATTCACCTATAACTAATTCCATTTCAAAACGTAAAAATAATTAGAAATCATTTGTTTATATTCTCGCTAAATTAGCTTTTATAATAAAAGGTTTATTTATTCATGTATTTTAGAGACAGATAAACAATAGTTTTATAGTATGTATAAATGTAAAAGGATTACGTTTTGCACGACAGTTAAATGTCGAAAAAGGCCTCTGACTATACCATTAGAAATTACAGTCATGAGAATATTTACATATATAATTAATTTTTGTCAAACGTAACAATAAATTATTTATAGTATTTAGGTTTGATAAATATTTAATTATGTCATAGGTTTCCAATCTTCTTCTTAGGATATTCCGTAAGGAAAATTTTGTAGATACTTACAAGACAAGGAATCGACGTTCAATAACCAAATAAGAATACAATTTATAAATAAAATATACATGGTCTCCGCTTGGGCTGCCTGTTCAAAGAAGTAATTGAACAATGTTTAATTTTTTAATAATTATAAAACATTGCATGTAATAAAACGTTTAATGGATCATAATTAAAGTCGAGTTAATGGAGTTTAATCAAGTTTTAATTTATAATCAGAACATTTTTCATTTTTTTTTATGATATTAAGAATGGCAAACATAGTGGGCCACCGCTTCTTTTCTCGTGAGTGTCGTAAGAGACGACTAAGGGAGCTTATGGTGGAAGAATGGGCGGCAGCATCCCTCCTAAAATATCACCAAAGCCAAACTGCGGTTGCCAATCTGCCTGCCAAGCGTGGCAACTACTGGCAAAACTCCTCTTATGGGGAAGGCTTATATGATATGAAATAATGATAAATGATAAATAAATAATACAATATGACATTCAAACTTCTTTATTCATTTTAAAATCATTTTATTTCACGACTTAATTTACGTATTGTCTAATACAAGAGGGTACACAGTAGTACAAAAACATACAATTAAGCCACTTATCAATTAAAAATTCACTAATTAACTAAATAAAAAAGTCACGTAAAAATTCCCACACCATACTGTCACACAATCGATTAAAACTAGGATTCGAATAATCTTATCGAATAATCGATATAGATCTTGCATATAACTAATGATATCTTACGGTCATATATGTATCATAATATGTGATTGGCACATAATTTTAATCAGAAATCGTTTTATAGATTCTAATAGACAATGTAACTAATTCGTGAATAAACCAATGATCAATTTGGATAATTAAAATAATTACGAACATAGAACAGTGCCGATTTAGAAATTTTCTAAATCCATCCCTGCTTAATGTTAACAATAATTTTAGAGAAATACGTTTAAAAAGTGGGTATTGATGGTGTCGATTCCCTAAAAGTTAATTTAAAAATGTGAAGTGTTAATGAAAGTTTAGACAAATTTCAAAATAGGCTCTAGCGGAAATTTTTCGTTTACATATTCATAAAATCAGTTTCATTTTGACAAAATCATTAACGATGTATACAAATTCTGAAAAAAAATACTAATACCTATCGACTTAGTTATGTCAACTCAACTATCGATTAATAATCGATTACGTACAAATACTAAACTAAACACGTCATTCAAATATTAAAACTAAAAAATAATTGTTGATGATTTAAAAAAGCAAATATTTATTCAATTGGACTGCTCCAGTTTTTTTTTATGAATTTAGTCATTTACAATTATGCAATAAAAAAAAATTAATAATAGTACAAATTAAAAGTTTACTTTAAATATTTGCTTTTTTATTGTCAGATTGATTACTAATACTAAATAATAGCTAAGTAAAAGTAATCACAAAATACTTAATAGAAACTAAACATTCACGACACAAAGACAATAAAGAGCAAATTAGTACTCTAAAAATTACATTTAGTTTAGAATAACTAAGTTACAAAAAGTTAAGTAACTATATGAGACGGAAAGTAATGCTGCTGTTACTACCACCTTGAGACGATAAACGAGTAGATGCTTCATTTTTATTTTATTAGTAATAGTTTAATAATAAAATACTAAATCGAATACACACGCCCTAAATGTAATAAAAGTACAAGAGCCAGTCAAATTCGACGATGGAGTAATGCTGTTAATTTTAATGAATAATCAGATGAATAAAGGGCTACAATAAAGCAAAAAAGGAGACAATAGTGTAACAAAAAGTGGTTCAGTAATTATTTTTATTCGATTATACGAATTTATCGATGCGTAATCGCAATTGTCGTATAATTATCTCGATAAAAAACTTGTTTGCGATACGACGTCAGATTCAATTGTGTGTAATCGCGAGAATTACGATTTATGTAATCGAATGGATAATCGATTGTGAATAATAATCGATTAGTAATCATAATGAAGTTCTCAAGGTGGTTGGGAAGGAAATTAGATGTCTGGATACAGACTTTGATCACAAAGACGCAGGGTGCAGAAGACGTCTTTGCCGTCGGCCGAGCATGTGCAATCGTTGCATTCGAAATTGAATTGCTCGCCGGGATTGCAGCGGAAATTGGAGTCCACATTGGAGTTGACTGCTGGAAAATTAATATACAAAGATTTATTATTAGTCTTCTATCTGTATATACTAGCTGACCTGGCAATGGTTGAAATTCGACCGTAACATGTATTGTAATAAATGAACTTATTATGGTTATGTTTAACATTCAGTAAGACTAAAGAAATAATATTAAAGACAAACAATATTAATCTATTCTCAGTTTGACCACAGATTTTAGCAATAAACAAAGGAATATATATATATATGTGCGTGTGTGTGTTAAATGCATGGTAGTGTGCGTAATTTTTTTTTTTATTGATTTAATGTATTTTTTATGGATAATTGTTAAAAATATTAGCATTTTGCACTCCTTCTCTATATAAATTAAAAGTGTGGCAAATTCCATACTCCTCCGTCCTCGCAATTTTCGTAAAAAGAGGTACAAAGTTTTTGCTTTACGTATTAATATACAATATATAATACCTTTGAAAGCCTTTATTTGTATTTGTCAAATCTGTAATTTAGTCTTAATTTAGTATAGAGACAGTTTTTAGTTAAAATTTTATTATATTACTAAGATTATATTATAAATGAATGATTACTTTTAGATTAAAAAAATTAAATACATACAAAAAATTAAGTATGTACAATGTAAATATGTTTTTAGGTTAGGTTTTGTTTACTCATCAAGTTAATTTCAAAGAATTTACCTATTGTGTCAACAATTGTAACCTATGAACGATATATCGTGGAACTGTACGATAATACCGTGGAAGTACACGATAAATCGTGTACGGTAAAGAATAAAAGCACTGTATCACGAAATAAAAGATTAAGTATTGTATTGTATTGTAAAATTGTTGATTGATTAATCGTAATAATGATAATTGATTAATATAATTGGTTAAAATAAATAAGACTACCATTTTGCACGTCATTAGAACTATGTGGTTAAATATACCATATAATTCTATAGCACTAATTAAGATCTACCAACTATAAACTAAATATAAAATAAACTTAACTATATTTAAGCAAATCAATTATTATTATTTTTTAAATTAAAAAAAAATCACATCTTTCCTCTTAAGGAGAGGAGATGGCAAACTAACCTCCGGCAGAAACACAGTCGGCCGGGGTTCAGGGTCCCAGGGAGAGAAACTCCTTATTATTGTTATTATCGAACGATTGGTTGATCAACCAATCGCTTAAACATTGATTGATTGACTAATGTACCTGGTGCAGGCGTGGCGCTGGTGACCTCGACGGTGTAGACCTTGCCGCACTTGTTGTTGGTGCAAAGTGCTTCGCCCTCGCCGGTGCACCTGCATACATTGCAGCCCCTCTCGAATACACTGCCCGGTGTACATTGTGTAGCTATCTTTTCCGTTGTATCTGTTGAAAACAAATACTTAGAACAGTTATAATCGTTAATAGATTTACGTTAATCGTTACAAAGGTAAACGGAATTAAATCCAGTGAGTTTAATGAAACGTGTTATGTGAGTTGGCCCTATACAAATTTCATCAAAATCGGTTCAGTAATTTCGATTTTGAATCAAAGTAACTAGTTTCGCCACCATTGAATGTGGTGTTTTTTTTTAATGGAACCAAATATACTTGATTTAATTATTTCTTCTGTATTAATGTGTGGATTCAACCAATGTCTAAAACTATTCCAAACTTCGAAATAACATTCGTAGTTAATAAAAAGTGCTTTGTCAGAGAGATGGACAAAATAGCACTATAAGAGTTCTTTCACTTGGTACAGAACCCTAAAAAAATATTGTGAAAATCGCTTCAAAATTGGCGATGGAATGGCGTAACGTAAAATTATATAGCATAAAAATACAATTTAATTTTAAAGTAGCCTAAGATACCGCCGTTGAATTCTGCATGTATGAAACTTTTTAATGAAATTTGGTTTAAATGCAAGATTGGCAAAAATATAATAAGGTTGCAATGGATTGCTTGCCCTCAGTTAGCCGCAATCAGGTTGTCAGGTAACCCTTACTTGCAAAATTTTTCTTATTGCATATAGTGCCATTTTTGTCAATCCTATGTTGCGATTAACAGATATCGAGTTTCAACTATATTGGGAGGGGTGGGGGGGGGGAGCAAACAATATTCGTCTGACCTCTCTTCGATCGGAGTCCTCCATTGTTGTTATTGTTCTGTGCATTACAATCGATTCTGGTGCAGGAGAAAGCTTGCCCCTCATCGTCGCACAGGCATTGGTTGCAGTCCATACGGAACTCGGAGCCGGGCTGGCAAGCTTTAAGTGGTCCCTACTAAACACAATACGCGTTATTTCTTTGTAACTTGTGTACTTAAATCATAATCTAGACGAGAATCTTGGATCTTGAACACAAATATTAATGTAATCGATTAAAATCGGAAAGTCTTAAATCGACTCATGAGAAAGAATATATCGATCATTGAATATATCGATCAAAAATCAAAGTCAGACTAGCAAGCCTTAGGTAGTTTCTACTAATTAAAAGACACGTCGTATCTTTGTAATTTACTAAAATAAAAATTTAGACATTATCCAGATTAGAGTTTATTTTAGGTTTATTATTTTAACTATAATCTGTTTTAACAAAATTTAATGCAAGGTTTTGACAAAATTGCACTAAATGTAAAGAGTCAATACAAAAAATGAATAAATCGATTAAATGCAAAGATGTTGAAATCATCACAGAAGTAATCTAAATGAAATTATTAATAGGTCGAAATATTAAATAAATCATTAGTACTGTTAAAGTGGACTATATTATAAAATTCATGTAGTTCTGGAATATCAAATAAATTATAAAATAACTATAGTTATATATTTATGAAAATTGGTAAGCGTTATCTATAGACATGAGCAGCACTGCATACATTACAAAAATCAATATGAAGCCCCTGAATTATGGTAATATATCCCATTTTCAGTAATGTCACCTTTTAAGTCGAAACATTCATGAAACCATACAAGAACTCTTTTAGTACATATGTTATATTACAGATATAAAAAAAAGTAAAAATGTAATCAACACTTTACCTGTGATAAACCTCGCACTTTTCTGACTAACGTAGAATTCTGTAAACAAAAATAAAAAAACGTTTCATTAATTATACCAATATTGATACACAAAAGCTAAAGATAAAAAGATGTGACAAGTATTTACAAATATATAATTTATAACCTTGCACTTAAGGAGTCCTAAGCAGTATCAGAAGAAAGAAAAAAAAGTAGAAAAGAAAAATAAAAACTTATTATAGTAATAGTATTTCTTTATTCATTTTTCAAGGTTAACAAAGAAAAAACATACTGAAGCAAAACCATACTAATAATGTAATAGACTACAAAGTTACAGAAAATAAAAAAAGAACAGTAAAAGATAATAAGAGAACAGCCATAACGAATACAAGAAACCAAAGTACCAGAACCATCGATACCAGTAGATAGAACAATATCGCACCTGAACATCATCAGTTTGTTCCGCGCAAGCGCGTCTGGTGCAAGAAAATGACTTTCCATCAGGATTGCATCGACACATATTGCAATCTAGTTCAAACACCTCGTTTGGACGACACTCGCGATGTATTACACGAAGTTCCTGCTTGTACACTAAATATTATACTTCAAATGCAAAAAAAAAAAATTGGCAGTGATAAACAGTTATGTGCAAGGGAATTAAAAATCTCGTTTTTTATATGCAAATTGTAATAGTTATATATGCATATCAATTATGCATATTATTGCAAATTTAGTATTTAAGAAAATTTTACCAAATAAAGGTATTGCTAACCACAACTATATTAAATTTAAAATAAATCAAATAGAGGAACAAGAATTCGGATTTAAAACTGCAAAAGCAGAAGCCAAAACCAATGCAATAGCATTAAAACTAAATAGTGGAATACCACTAAAACTTTTTAGCAAATTCACCTCAGTGTTTTGGTTGTTGCTGTCAACGTCTTCAGGTAATTCGGGGATACAAACTTTTCTAGTACAGAAGAAACTGGTCCCGTCATCATTACACCAGCACGTATTGCAATCCTTGATGAACATGCGATTTGCAACGCATACGATTGTTTTGTTGAGACTCGACTTTGTTGTCTACAATATTTAGAAATGAACGAATAAAAACATTTGCGATGTGATTCAGTATAAAACAAGTCCTAATTATTGTTAATACAATATAATATATCATCTTCTTTCCTGTATCCAAAATTATTTGGGGTCTGCGTAGTACGTTTGTCCCTTATATATATTTTTTAATTTTCTCTCTCTTATCTATTTGCAGTCATTCCAATATTTATTCTTTTTCTGGTTGTATCTTCTTTTATATATTCAATTCATCTCTTCTTAGATCTTTTTCTACCATTATAATTACATCCATACTTAATACGCGTACTTTTTAATGGGTATGTATTTTAAATAATATTAAGTACAAAAATTAAAACAACTTGAAATTAATAATCTTTTTAATGATTACATAATTAATATTATACAATAATACAATAATTGCTTGTTAATCAATTAGGAAAGGAACAGTTCTAGGAAATATTATATTAACATTTGGAATTACAAGTAATTTTAATTCAATCGCATGAAATAGTGTACGTTTGATTCTTGCTTTTAAATTGCCAATTCTCTCCCCGACAACACAGTTTTTATTTTTAATCTACAATTTAGGAGTTTGATGCCCGCTCTTATATTCGTCCTTGAGTTCGATCGGCTCCTTCTCCTGAAACAAAGACGTACTTCTAGATCGCATCACTATCAAATAGCTCCACGTCTTTAAGCCAAGAGCAAATTTGTTCGGAGCACAGGTAGTCTGTCCCGTCCTGGTTGCATTTGCAGAGGTTGCACCCTCTGTTGAACTCTGCGTAAGGCTTGCACAGGTATTCGATTTCGACGTGATCCACGCCCTTAAACGAGAGTTTTCATTTAGTAATATTTGTGATCCATTAGATTTTTTAAGCCAATTAAAATTCTTAACAATTTCTGTCAACATTTTCTATAGTTTTAATATACTTCTGCTAATATTTAATTCAAAAAGAGTTATGAAATTTTTGTGTATAATTATATAGCTCTAACTACATACATCATATAATTAATATACTTTGTAATTTTGGTAAGAATATTTTGTAGTTTTTTTTTCTTTTTTTTTTTTATAATGTATTAATCTGTCTAACAATCACCTGTAATTTGCTTCTTGTGGAATTTCTCTTATACGATTATCTGTTTGAATACTGTTAATTCTGGTCTTTGTATATATATATATATATATATATTTTATTTTGAAAAATTAGATTTTAATATATAATAAAAATTTGTCTAAATCTTATCTGCGTTGATGCGTTCATGAAATTTAAAGAAATGAACCACTTACCGCACTCTCAGCAAAAACTTCAACTTCTTTATTCATGTCTCTTTCGAGACATTCTCCTTCAGTGCATTCGACATTTTGTCCTTCTGTGGTACACTCCTGATTAGGTTTGCAGACCGATCGCTTTACTTTGTTACTAGTCATATCTATAACATTGTTAGCCTGCAATATTATTATTTTATTATATTTCTCAAATTATCAAGTTATTGATAATAAAATATAAAAATTACATTTAATTAATCGTTTTAAATGATGTGATAAAAAAATATGTGAACAAAGAAATCGTGAAATAAACAAATTACTTACCTTAGACGTAGAATACAGTGCAACCTTTTTCCCAACAATTTTGTGCACACTATATGTTTTCGAAATTAGTTTAGATTAAATGTAAGAATTATCTGATGTAAATATAGAAAACTTATTGTACTAATATAATAAAATTGTAATTAGACAATGTCTGAACATTAAGACTTGTCGGGCGGTCTCGGCTTAAGTCGGCTCTGTTCGCCACTTCGTGTTATGCCACCGATTGCATGTTACGCGTACTTTTAATTTATATATTATTTAATATGCAATTAACTACAACGAGAATTGTAACAGCTTTACAGTCCACTGTTGTATCATTAAACCATCATCTTTCATTAGTAAAGGCTTAAACTTTTTTTATTTAATGAGATTTTTAAGAAAAAATAATATGAGGTCTTAAGAACATCAAAATAGTAATTTTAAAAAAATTTATATTTTGTTACAGACATTGTCTATTTACGATTTAATTATAAATTAGTAAAACACTGTATAAATGAAATAAAAAAAAAAATGTAGTGATGTGCAAATAACACTTTTATTCGTCGTAGAATGTCTAAATATAATATTAGTAACCTGTCCCTGGTATTATATATTTTGATGTTAAAAATTATTAACTCAAAGTCGAGTTGACTTTATTAATATACCGCAAAAACACACTATTTTCTCAACTATGCATAGATGGAGGTCGTGAAAGAAAATACGTCAAATATTAGAAACCCGATATATGCATATGGATCCAACACCATTTTTGAGAAATTTGCAAACCGCTCTTAATGCGACTGTAACAAGTCTTTATATTACAGTTTAAATGAAGTTATTTTAATAAACGGATTTTTTTAATGATTAAAAATAGAAGCGATGTTAAAAAATATAATAATAAAAACAAATGAACTTACCAATTCCGGGCTCTTTTTCGTTGTGCTTTCTTCAAATAAAACAGGATCTGAAAAAAGGAATTTACATTGAGATGTATCTTTTAGCATTTTATAGGTGTATTGAAATGTATGATAAATATCGATAGGCGGTTAGTACTTGGTCTCTGGGTGTAGTTATTATTATAATTGTCATTGAATTGTTTATTTCTCAGCTTTTAGCGCTGGTACACTACTACACTTACGGGTACGTGACCAAGTAAGTGCAGTGTGTATGTTTGTATGGAAGGTTATGTTTGTGTATGTCGGGTGGCTACTTCATCCTGATCTATATCTAAGAATTTTCTGACTATTCTGCAAGTATTTATTATGGCAACCTTTTGTAGGGAGATGTAGAGATTTTTTCGTAGACCTATTTGTTTTATACCTGTTTGTTGACCTAATATTATTATTATATTAACTATTAACTGAGCACTGATGAACATAGATTTGCCAGTAGTTGCCACGCTTGGCAGGCAGGTTGACAGCCGCAGTTAGGTCTTGGTAATGTTTTAAGAGGGACGCCACATATATTATAAAATATTATTAAAAATTACATTCGTATTAAAATATACTGATGATTTTTTAATAATGTTTAATGATTTTTTTTTCAATAATTCAAAATTCTGGATAAAATTTTATATATTTCCTCACTTAGTTTGTTTTGTAAGGTTTGTAAAAAGTGTTCATAACCCCCTATGCTAGAGAAGCCCCTAAGCTATGCAAGAGATTACAAATACTGAAAATGGTCATATCCTACCATTTTCGTCACAATGAAAATTGGTGCAAATACGGAATCCATCTGGTTGGCAGGAGCATTCGTTGCAATCCGTCTTCCACGAAGTTCCTGGTACACACTCTTTGTTTTCTGGCTGTTTCATTGTTGTTTTATTAGTTTTACCTGAAAACAGATATGTTTCTGATTGATATTAATATAAAGGATAAACAGACATGGAGCATGTCTCCTTTCCATGTAGAGGAGACCTATTCGAAGATAGAAAAAAGTTGATATAGATAGAACAATAGGATCTATTCTGGGGCGCTATTTCTCTATCTGTAAAATTAAATTTTAAATTTGATATTATAGCTAAGTCTTTATTGTAAAGTCCAATATGAACTAAATTTGTATTAAATTTAAAGCAAAATTATTATGATGATCCATAAAATAGTAATTATGCAAAATTAACTAAAATGCTTGCTTGAGATTGCATAGCAATAAGACCGCCTTTTGTGCTACACTATACTTATCGAAAATTCTTTAATAAATCCTGTAATGTTACGTATATATAATATGTCCTGTAATGCAATAAAGTGTTAAATAAAATAAATAAATAAAATATTAGGTTAAAAGATAGGTTTAGAGAAATAGCGACTCGGAATGTACCCCAATGTCTATTCGCTACCTATAAGAGACTTGGTAGTTTATGGAGCTGTATAGAAATATTATTATTATTATTAAGAAGGGCTTTTACAAGTACAAAACCTGTGACACTGCGACCTTTCTATGACTATATATATATAACTTTCTATGTGCTCACCCTTTTTTTTTTAAAGTTCGCTGCTAATTCCTAGCAGTGACAGGAATTTTACGATGTTCTTTGTATCGATGTTTTTATCTCCTCAGGATATAAACGGTATTTACCAATGAAGATATATCGTTTATGTGTGAATGGGATACAGTCACAAATTAGGTGCTGTTTAGAAATAAACTGATAACTATAGAAACAAAATCAAGATAAATAAAATACTTATAGCAACAGACAGTGTAAATCATCCACTTGATGTTGTTTCAAAAATAAAACTTGAAGAAATCAAAATTGGTTCAGAATTATTAAAGACTAGCTTTTTGCCTGTTATTTTGTGCGTATGGATTTCAAAACGAGAAAAGAAGGCTCATGGGAAAGGCCACATACACTACAGTGTTTCTGTTTATGATAATAAAGACAAAGAACTTACCATCCGGAGATTCGCATGCCAATAAAGTGCACAAAGGTCGGCCATCGTAACAGTAGCAACTGTTGCATTGGTACTTCCAGAAAGTGTTTGGTGCACATTTTGTTTTTCGCTCTGAAATGAGACATTAGTTTTGTATTAAAAATTTTAATCCGGGAAATTCTAAAATTTTCGGAATGCTGTTCACGATGATGGTTTCTTTTTAAGCGATTTCGAAAAGAAATAGGTTGTCAATTGGATGGACTCTATAGTTTCTTTTGTTACATGATATAAAGAATAAAATCGAAATCGTTGGCGATCCGCAAATCTAAGCAACCGGGAAAAGAAATGGCTCACCCAATTCTTTTCCTGTGGGCATCGTAATGGGCGATTAAGGGTACTTAATGGTCGAAAAATGAGTAGCAGCGTTCCTCATAAAACAACATAAGTAAAAGCCTAAAAGCGATTGTAAACCCTCCTGCCTAGCGTGGCAACTATTGCCAAAATCAAGGGAGGTTTTGCCAATAGATCCTACGATGAGAATAAAAACTAAGAAACTACATATGCTATGGAACATATTGATATAGAAATTTCATAATCTTACTAACTTAATAGCTAATCGCAATTTTTTCGCAAAAAAAATTCTCTACTTGTGAAATTTTGGAGAAGTTACATTTTTGGAGAAAAGTGAAATGAGCTAGGGAAAATTTGGGTAATCCTTTTTTCAAATTTTGATATATTATATATAAACCGGATATTTGTATCAGATTTTAACTACATATTTCATTAATTATAGGTATGTATTAAATATTGTGATTGGAACCGTAATCATTTGGAAAAAAAAAATTACATTTAGGTAATAAAAAATCAGAAATCCCATCTGGCAATTCTGACTGAACACGCATTGTTAGTGTTCCTTATTGAAAAACCACAATAATTTTAAGGCTTCATATTTGAAAACTTTTTGTAGAAAATAATCAATATTACCATTCAGACAAGAGTTGAGGGTACACATGGCCAGGCCTTGAGGCGAACAAATGCATGAGTTGCATTCAGTGTGCCATGCGGTTCCGGGCGCGCATTCCTCCCCTTCCTTTAGTTCTAAAACTTTACGTTTGTTTGTATCTGGAAAATAAGAAAATAGTAAACTAGAGTAAGTTGTAAGTAAGAAAAAAAGGTTGTCGAGTGGCGACCCCGTACGGGCAAACGTAGTATAGGACAACCTCAACTAGATGGAGTGACGACCTCAAATATATTGCAGAGAATTAGTGGATGCAGGTGGTTCAAGACCGTTCCTTATGGCAGACTATGGGGGAGGCCTATGTTTAGCAGTGGACAGATACTGGCTGGGATGATGATGATGACGATGATGAAATTGGAATAAAAGAGAACAGATTCATATTACCCAACTTATTATTGTCCTATAAAAGGCATGAATCTAATCCTATTAAAAGAGAATTATAGATCCTAATGGCAGTGTATGGGTGAGGCCTATGTTCACCAGTAGACAAATAATGGCTGAAATGATGATGATGATGATAAATCGTCTACAAAGGCTGGTGCCTATTATGATCACGTTAGTCAAGCAACTTGTTATAGTTGTTGTGTTTTTTCTAATGAATGATAATGGAATGGCAGTCACATCTGCACTAACAGTTATGAATTTAAATGACGTTGCAGACAAGTCTAATAGAATAATGATTACTTGTAAGTTACATATAAAATATTGTATTTATAAATGTTGTGAGCAAGGGTGGACTTATCTCTGATAGAGATTTCTTCCAGTCAACCCAATACAGTGAGAAAGCATTTTGTTAGCGGGCAGCTACTTCTATTCTATTCTATTTTGTAATCACACAAAAATGCTTCATATACAAATTTTGTTGACAGATGGAAAGATAGAAGAAAGAAGAAAGAAGAATAAACAAAGAAGAATAAAGTTAAATTAGTTAACAAAGATAAATAATTTGTAAGCGGGGAAGACAAATAGAAAAGTTAAGGTTTTTAAAGCTACACGATTGATTTGTGTCGCTTAATCTAACTTGAAAGATGGATCGTACAATAATTTATAGTTTTAAGGAAAAAATAATAATAAAAGAATTTACCTAAAGACACAGTGCAGTCTTTATTACATTTCGGTTGTCCGTCTATGCACCAGCAGGTGGCGTTACAATCATTCGTCCATTGGGAGCCAGGGGCGCAGACCCTAGAACGTTCTGAAAAAAAAAAAACAAAAAAAAACATTCAACTTTCAACAGAGGGAGACTTTGTACAAAAGTCGATTGCTTGGGTACCTCTGTCCCATTCGTGTTTCAACCGTGAAGCAGTTGTGTTTGCATAGCTGTGTTTCGGTTTGAAGGGTGGGATATGGCGTGAATTTACTGGGTACAGAGGAATAACATCTGAGTTCTCAGGAATGGCAACGTATGGGGGGTATTATGGGCGAAATAGTATACTCTGTTATGTTCATGGTAGATACTGCTCATGTCTATAGGCGACGGTTACCACTTTCCATCAGATGGGCCGTCAGCTTGTTTGCCATTCTAAGTAGCATAAAAAAAAAGATTCCAGAAAGAAAGAGGCTCCCAATTTGGTTGTATTTTTCTTTGTGTTTGTTACCTCATAACTTCGTCAGTTATAAATTTTGTAAAATCCTTTTTATCTGAAAAAACTTAGAGACAAATCCCATAGAAATTTTATCAAAATCAGTTGTATAGTTTAGATTTGAAATAATTTGAAGTCTGTTTTTTGTGGAATTTAATTTTAAATATATACTGTCTCGTCGTGGACACAATGGAATTTATTTTAGAATAAACTCTGGTAAAAGTTGATAAGTGCGTTTTATTAGATATAAATATTAACAATAATGTTCTAACTGGCGTTACAACTATCCAAGTCAAAACAAGATGGCACCGTACTAGAAATACAGCAGTGGACGGTAGGACAATAATAAAAAAGGAAACGCCTGCTCGAACAGGCCGAGCACGTAATTACGAAATTGTCATTAACATATACTATATTTTTTATTTTTATATTATACAATAAAAAAGAAAATTAATAAATTTACAAAAGAAGGAGATTTCAGTTCATTGGATTTTGTTTTATAACCATGTCATGTAATATAAATTACGTGTCACTATTTATGAATTGATTTTCATTATTTCTTTTTTGCAGCCGAGTTTACTGTCGTATATATATTTTATTTTTGTAACCATCAAACTAGGTGCTTTTCTTTTTCAACTAGAAATTTATTTCATATAGGTTCTTAGAATAAAGATTTCGGTTTAGAAAAATGGCGTCTCGCAATCCACCTCATTGTTTGCATCCATCAACAAATCCAATGTTAAACAGCAACAGAAATGTTATTTTTTTATTTTTTTTTTACGTCAGTGGTTAATAAGCTCTGTTGTCCCGGCATATAATAGGCCTCCTTTTTCCTATGAGTGTCTTAAGAGACCACTAAGGGAACTTTGAGAAAAAGACTTAGGGAACTTCGAGGAAAAGACTAAAGGAACTTCGAGGAAAAGACTAAAGGAATTTCAAGGAAAAGACTAAGGGAATTTTGAGGAAAAGATTAAGGGATGTTAGAGGGATGGGAAGCAGAGTCCCTCTTAAAACATCATCAAAGCCTAACTACGGCTGCCAACTTGACTGCCAAGCGTGGCAAATACTGATAAAACCCTCTTCATGTTTAGCAGTGAAAAGTTAAAAGCTGATGTAATAAGATGATGACGCATCTGATAGAAAATGGTAACTGTACTTATGAAATAACTCACCATTATCGCATCCCACTTTGGTGCACGTTGCAAATCCACCAGGTTCACACGTGCACGTGTTGCATTCCGTTTTCCAATACGTGCCCGGAGCACACTGGTTACCCCAAGAGAGGTTTGATATGCCTAGAAAAATATTTAGTAACTATTATTAAGATTCGCGTTTCTGCTGTGAAACAGCTGATTGGATGACTGTTTCGGTTTAAAGAATAGGCTATAGCTGTGAAATTACCGAGTATAGAGGCATAAAAACATTATTCTCAGACATAGCAACACATGAAGCAACCGCAAATTTAGACAATTTACTTCAAATTATTTTTAATTACAAAATAATCAACAAAAAACAAGGCTCAATTCTAGCGTATTTCTTATCCAATTTTATTTAGCGACCAAACACCAGAGGGAGACTTTGCACAAAAGTCATTTGCTTGGGCATCTCTGTCCCATTGGTGTTTCTACCGTTAAGCAATTGCATGGCTGAATTTCGGTTTGAAGGGTGGGATATGGCAGTGAATTTACAGGGTACAAAAGAATAACACCCGAGTCCTCAGGAATGGTAACACATGGGGAGTATCATGGGTGAAACAGTATACTCTGTTATATCCATGGTACTGCTTATGTCTATAGGCGACGGGTGGGCCGTCAGTTTGTTTGCCAGTCTAAGTTGCATAAAAAAACCTTTACCCACACTATGAAACTTGGTATTTACGTATTATATGGGATGGAAAAGGATACAGACTACTATTTGTCCAGGTCAGTAAACGTATTCCGGTCATACGAATTTTTTCGCGGGTAAATAAATAAATAAAATTAATACATAAAAATCTATCTATCTACACATTCGAAGCCGGTGTGGGTGGCTAGTACTTAAATACAATACACACCTTTCTGTTCCATGTTGGGGAGACACGAAGGATCCTCGTCGTTGGATGCACATCTCAGTACTGGAAAATATTAAATTAAAATCATCAATGCTTAATACGTGAAAAACAATTTTTTTTTTTATATTATCTTGGCATTTTAAAGACTCAAGTGATGGCTAGGAAATGTTCTACTTTTAGATATACCATTTTTTTTTATACAACTTAGAATGGCAAACAAGCTGACGGCCCACCTGATGTAAAGTGGTAACCATCGCCTATAGACATGAGCAGTACCATGGACATAACAGAGTATACTGTTTCGCCCATGATACCCCCCATGCGTTGCCATTCCTGAGGACTCAAATGTTATTCCTCTGTACCCAGTAAATTCACGCTACATCCCACCCTTCAAACCGAAACACAACCATGCAAACACAACTGCTTCACGGTTGAAATACGAATGGGACAGAGGTACCCAACCAACCAGCAATCGTACAATAAGTAGTATAAAAAAAATATTATTTCAGCTGTCCATTACTGGGCATAAGCCTTCCCCATAAGGGGTGGTTTGTCAGGAGTTGCCACTATTGGCAGGCAGGTTGGCAACGGTAGTTAGGCTTTTAGAAATGTTTTAAGTGGGACGCTGCTGCCATCCCTCGCTCTTACTTAGCCGCGTCTCATGACACCCATGGGAAAGGAAGGGGTGGCAAGCTTTTTTGGTTTTGTTTTTTTTATTTAGACTTTGAATTTGATTAGTTAGCAGATGTAATATTCGATGCGGCAGGTGGCAAGCCTATTACAATCGCATTAATGCAATTTGTTATCGGTGATTTCCATCGGAAAGTTGGTCGCGAATTTAATTTGGTGCACATTTTCTTTACCATTGACCCACAACTTGATATAAAAAAAAAAACAAAAATGTAGATTAAATAATACAAGCTTATTTTAACAAAATAAATTTGTATTAATTTACGTTTTTGTCAAGATTGTATGTATAAAGACATCTCACGTCCACATTTCAATTCCAAAGATGGCGGTTAATTATTGTGTTACAATTTCGAAATCCTCGCGGACAATGCTATCTTCGACGAGTTCTCTAATTATACAGCCAATTGTTTGTCGCTATTAATAGAACTGCAATAATTGCGAAGGTTAAAGGGCAAATTGAGGATCGGACGGGCGCGCTGAGACCGAATCAATTCACGTGACTTTCAGCGACCATTATCGGAAAGTTGGCGGGAAACGAGATGTCATGTAACTTTTTAAAACTATCATAATCAGGTTTCTTAGTTAAGCCGATTTTTTTTTTATTATCATCCCTCACTAGTCCCGCACCAGCGTATAACGATGGCTCAGCTTAGGTTACCAATCCGATGTCATCTTATAAAAACACAGCAGCAATAGGGGGAAAAGGGATTTTTAGAGATAGGGTATATTGCTGGTAATGGGGGTTGTTTTTCTGTTGTTTATTTAACGGGTGACAATTGAATGGCACCCATTAAACATTACGCCTGCACTATTGGGATACGCTGACGGGGCACCAATAAAGGAAAATAGATGAGGATGAAAAGGCAGGTCAGTTAACCTTAGCCTAGCAGGTTAGTTAACTTCGTGACGAAGTTCAGTAGAATTAACCACGATGGTTTCCAGGGGGAACAGCATGGAGGTCGACCTGATAGGGTGTATTGCTAGCAATGGGCCAATTAGACCCCATTACTAGTAATCCCTCTCCTCACTAGTAATGGGGTTGTTGGACCCTATCATACAGGGTTTATTAATAACCTTTTCATGACCGAGAATATGAGTAACCTATGTCCTTTTCCATCCCATATAGTACATGTATTCAAAATTCAGAATGACCGTTTATGATGTTAAGAAGTAAAAACAAACAAAATTATTTTCGTACTTATCATTAATTAGAATTAATCACAATTATTGTTGAAGTATAACGTTTTATTTTAATAAAGTTCCTAAAATATTAATATATTGTTTATAATTGATAACAATTTTTTATTGGATGTCTTATTTTTGGATAGTGGCAACCCCTGTATTTTTTTTATTACTGCGTGCTCTCTCGTCTGTGGCTCTCTTAAAATATTCATGTAAAGAAGCGTTAAATAAAAAAAAAAATAAAGATACCAAAATATTGTCTGTTGTTTTTAAAAAAAAACACCACTTCAAGCTTCAATAGAAATTTACATCACTTTACAAAAATATGTGATACAAAAGTTAAGACTAAATATGCTATATAAAATAGCATACACACATAATTACATTCTGTCCTTGGGCATGGGTAATCACTGGAGAACTTCCAACTGCATCGTAATAGGCTTGTTTACCGTGAACTAATTAACAGGATGAGCTATGAAATCATAGTTTACATACGTATTCTTGGAATCATTATCATGTATTCTATACAGATATGAAACTCATTCATATATGACATCAATTTATCAATAATTCATCGTTTCGTAGTAAATAATATCACGGGTCAACTTAGTTGATCCATATAAGATACGGATCAACTGAACGGCCATCTTGTACTGTATGAATGATTTATTTGTAATATTAGTTTAATATATATGCTTTTATACATTTATTGATAGTATATTTATTAGGTTATAGCAAAAATACCAGAGGGATACTTTGTACAAAATTCGACTGCTTGGGTACCTCTGTCCCATTCGTGTTTCTACCGTGAAGCAGTTGTGTTTGCATGCCTGTGTTTCGGTTTGAAGGGTAGGATGTGGCGTGAATTTACAGTGTACAGAAGAATAACATCTGAGTTCTCAGGAATGGTAACGCATGGGGGGTATCATGGGCGAAACAGTATACTCTGTTATGTTCATGGTACTGCTCATGTATATAGGCGACGGTTACCACTTTCCATCAGGTGGGCCGTCAGCTTGTTTGTCATTCTAAGTAGTATAAAAAAATGTACACAGGCGGTCTTATCCCTTGAAGTGATCTCTTCCAATCAACCTTAAGAACGCGAAAGAAGAAAGTATCTTTAGGGTTTATATATGAAGCATAATATATTATATATATATTTTTTTTTGTGATTCTGTGAAATGTATTAGTTTTATTAAATATTTTTAGTTATTAAATTTCCTTATATAAAATATAACAACAATATTTAATTATAAATATAAATTATATTTATATATATAATCCCTATATATATAATAAGTCCCTTTCCCTCCACTTTTTCATATTATAGCATAAAACAAAATATAGATAGTTCAATGTGCAAACAAATTGACTGGCGGCCAACCTAATAGAAAGTTGTAAAAGTGGCCTAGAAATACTATCAACACCATGGACAGAATCCTTTCTTCCTTATTAATGCGAAAGTGAGTTTGTTTGTTTGTTACCTCTTAGCGTCTTTAACTAATCGCTATGAAATTTAATGTACACGTACTACAATAGGAAGGAGGAAAACAGCATACTTTTTATTACGCGGTAAATCGCGGGTAAAAACTAGTATATTGTAATGCGCATTATGTCCCTTCTGCATTGCCATTCCTGAAGTCCAAGATTTTTTATAGATGACGATGGAATGGTAACCCCCCGCCTGCGCTATCGGTATACGCTGGCGGGGCACCAGTGAGTAATGATAGGTGACGATGAAAGCAGGTCAGTTAGCCCATCGTGACGAATTCCACTAGAATTAACCGCGATGGTTTCCCCGCGAAACCGTGTGGAGGTCGACCTGATAGGATAGATTGCTAGAAATGGGGCTATTAGAATCCATTACTAATAATCCCTTTCCCCCCAGGATCAAAATATTAGGCCTCAATACCCAATAATTTCACCACCATATTCTATCCTTCAAGTCTAAATACGGTAAACGTAAATTTTCTTAAATATTTACGTGACAGCAGAGTACAGACAAAACAGAGTGCTGGAGGTTATACTGTAACGATTACATACTAACTTTTGATTCATCCACTATAAAAAAAAAGTCATTCATTATCTCATACAAACACGTCGATTTCAGTGTCTATCGACCGATTTTGCTGATGCGTAATGAACACTAGTAAACAAGGCCTAAATATTCCTATTGACATTGACTTCTATGATTGCGACTTTGTTTACAAACTTTGATAGTCTATGTCTATGATATGTACATAAATATAAACAATTAAGTATTACCACACATAAATATGGAAGTACATAACATTATCGAATAAGATTCCTCAATCCATCCTTTGTATCTTTGTTCCTATGTCACGCAATAACCACTGCACCAAACTGAATGCAGATTTTACAGTTGTATTTCATTTGGTCCCGCCATCTAGAAGTGACTCTCCATTAATTTGTTTTCCTGCTTTTGAAATGTACGCGTACAAAATACGCGTCAGACTACACTATTTCTAGTCAAATAAATATTTACGTACTTCTAAATATGAACTCTGTTAATGAGATGCTAAAAGTAGTTTAAAAATAAAACTAAACATTATAATAAAATACAGTACAATATGCATATTACTTGCTTGAGGACAAGTAAGGCTAATGCCCCCGCAGCTAACAGGTAAATCTGGTATACGCCTTATACACTTGTGGCCAAATAAAAATTTAACAATTTCTTCAAAACGAAATAAAAAGTCAAAAACTATTAGCACCTTATTAATAATGCTGGTAAGTAAACAATTTAAGGAAATAACAAGCAAACTGCAGAAAATTTAATCATCATCATGATGTCACCCATTATCTGTCCACTGCTGAACTTAGGCCTCCTCCATAGACTAGACTGGCAAAAGAAACAGTCCTCAGCCAGCTGAATCCACAAAATTTAATCTACTCATATAATCGATCGTTTTTAATAAGCCTTAGACTGACAAAAAACATGGACTGTAATGCTCCTGGTACCCCTCATGCATTCCCATTTTTGAAGCCTAAGCTAAGGTGTAACTCTATAACCTGTGATTTTACTTCCTAGATGCTTTGCTGAAACACGTGTGGATTAGAGGTACGAGTATCTAGACAGACGACTTTTTTTTGTAAATTTTATTCCTAAGACGTGTGGTCCTGGCATAGACTTAGTCACATCTAATAAATATCGATGCCAGTTTATGATT